ATAATAACGAGGTGGTAACGATCAACATTCATAGACAGACTGGTCTGGAAATTATTTTGTATACAGCAGGGATCGAATTAAGATTCACCACCTTCGCATAGAGATTCTTTATTAATGTCTCCTTTGAGACTACATTATACCTACTACAGTTAACGACCCTCGAGCCCCTTTCTTGGTAGTATTCCCATACAGCTGTAAAAAACAGTGTAAAAATAGCATCAGTAATAATCTGGTATAGGCTCAAAGGCTTCTAGAACGTTGATCACGCAAACAAGGCAAATAGAAGGCGTGCAGTATCAAAAATACAAGTACGGCACTACTGTAACGACCAGGTTCCTTCTATGCTGCCCCACTGCGGGGAAGCAAAAGTAAGGAAACCCTTAAAGGCTTCCCCTTTCCTATTTTTTCTAAAATCCCCACCTTGACTCAAATAATCCTAAGCTTATGTAGTAAGTTCTGTGTATCTTGATTGACTTCAATCTTATCCTTAACTAACACGAGAAGTATATTTCCTAAGTCGAAATCAGGATTGACAATCACAAAACCTTAAGGCAACTTTCTAAAGATTATTATAGATCAACGATCTTTAGACCTTCAGTTATATAAGGCCTCTGAGCTGGAGAATTTTGGAAACAGCCAGAGCACTCCTAGACTAAGGAGCAAACCCCAACGCTGAAGGATTCTTGTATGGCTGCGCACTTCAGGCGGCTGCTTAGAGCTGGTGCAGTTGCTCCAAAATCGAGGCGCAGATATTAACACAGCTGGCGGCTATCATGGTAGTGCGTTGCTAGGAGTCACTCAATATAGAAACACATAGATAGTGGTTTTTTGATGAATGCCGGTGCAAACCTGAACGAACATAGGCACTATGGCACTGCACGAGCTGTAGCGCGGGACAAACAATGTGAAGATGTGGTGAGAGTCCTCGACAATGCTGGTGCGGTTGAGTGGCGACCGGATCCATGGAATGATGACCTCGGGAATCAAGTTTCTTTCCATAGGCACATGTCAAAACATCTTTCTTTTCAATACAGAATGCTTGTTATGAAGTATATTTTATATTTTTATCAACCATTTTGCTCCCGCCTTTTTTAGTTATGGCTTTGAATGTTCCATAAGGAGTATATTTAGATAATTCCATACGACTGTCAAAATCACCCGGCTATACTATGTCACTACCTAAGCTATTTTACGTACTAAACATATTGAACTCCTGATCGTTTCAAACGCTCGAACTGGAGAATCACGCTGTGTTGTAATAATGGTTATGGTATTTGATTTTATCTGTGATATCTAGTATCCAGGAAACTATCTTTCATGACAATTCGGCCCCATGAAACCAGACCCAACTATATGTAGCTTAGTGTGCTCGAAAGCGGGCCCTTGGGAAAGAATCTCTGTGTTCAAATGGTGGAACTAATTTCGATCTATGCTGGAAGATATGTACCAGCAGGACAGTTGAGCATTCTTATGAGCCTTCTCTTCGAATATAATAGGAAGAATAATATTAGTGTCAAGTTTCTAAACATACGTAGTACAAGCGTGCAATATTCGGGATTTAACCATATATTCACAAAGAGATCCAATGAGAATAGCGGCAAATTCTACCCTTTCGCCATCTTTTTTTTTGAGCTTTAGTTTTCTTGGCCTACCTAGTCAGTACAGCTTGGCATGTAAAGGAGGGTCAAAGTGAGAGCCATCGGTCCCACTTGAATCTGTCGGCTGGCATATCCCCTGGTGCGGACGCATTCAAGAGTTGCAAAAGTTGGAACCCTAGATCTCGAATTGGCAGCGCGATCTCATGATTAACTCCAAATGGTCTTTGTGTTCAGGTAATTTGTCAGAGCCCAAATTCATCACATATACAAATTTGACGCAGACGCGAAGAAGTTTGCATCTCAGACTATGACGAGTGGTGATGCAGCAGTGGATAAGTTCAAGTTTCTCCAGAAGAACGTGGGTAACCCTCCAGGGCTCTTCCCGGTGATCCGACGAGTGCATCGAATGATAAGAGTAAATATGGGATGTGGGGAGACAATCAGCTAGGAAAGCTGGGTCTGTAAAAGACTTTAAGGTTGGCCTTCAGATGTATATATATATCTGTACCTAGGTATATTTCTACCTATCTAAGGTAGTCTATATCAAGTGAGTCTCAAGGTTAGAGCTCGCCCAGTAGTTTTCCTTAAAGAACAATTTCCAACCTTGAAGTTGTAACTTTTGTTTGGAATCGCTGCCCTAGGTATGTAGTTAAGTGTTCCACTCCCCGGCCAGGGTCCGCCCCCGATGGACCCGTGGACCCCGGGGCCCCGGGGCCCGTCCGTCGGGTTATGTCAGCGCCCCCTTCACCTGGGCACCTGGGCAGCCCCTCCCGCCCCCCGGGCCCCACGTACATCTTTCCCCTTATTTTACATTTTCTCTTCACTCTCTCCCACACTTGTCACCATGTCTGACTCGGAAGATGGTGATTGGCAGCAAGTGCGCACCTACACTGACCATATTGGTCACCGCGTGGTGTTGGAGCAGTTCGTCGAGCCAGAGTTGGCGCCGGATGACGTACATTTAGTCCCTTTCCAGGTCTACAGTCTTGTTCCTCTTGATGACGACCATGAGCAACTCCGGGAATATCTGATGCAGAGCTTTATCGATGAAGAGCTCAAGCCCTTGTTCGAGATTTATTCATACTGCCCGCCCGACCCCTTCGCGTGCATTGAGCATAACCGCCGGGAAATCGCCCGGCGCAAGCAACTTCATCAGTCAGGGGTTGAGAATGCACCCCCGCTTATTCCGCAATTCCCCCGTCGAAGCAATGGTACGCTCGGGGGATTTTGTATTTTGATTCGATCGCACAGCTATCGATTCGGTCAGGATGAGGATGGATACACACAAGCGGGCGAAGGGCCGGATTTGCTTTTTTTCAACCGCTCGTTTTCCAACACGCGCAATGACATTGATGAAACCCAACGTATCTCCGAGGATGATAATCCTACATCAGAGGCATTCGAATTGGCCACCCAACGTGTCACGAAACAATACAATATCGGGCAGATCCTTATGTTGGATATTTTCCTCAAAGCCGGTCGCCCTGACTTGCAATATGCATTGGACATCGACGAAGGTGAACCTCCTCAATCGAATCCGCCCTCACAAGATCAGATTCGTGACCGATTGAATCAAGAAACTGCAGTCGGCGGTTTCTCGCTTGATCCAACATTCCAATTTTCACAGGATGCCGATATTATAACGGTCACCAATGCCTCGGAGAGAGCTGTTTGTGATATTCAATATTTCATCCATGCGCTTTTTCTCGCCCCCTTCCGCGATCCAGCAACACCCTCTCTCCTGGAAAGCACATCACGTCTTTTCACAGCGTCGATTGTGTCCCATCTCCCAGCCAACAAAACATTCAACTTCAAATTCTGTATCCCAAATTCGCATTCCTGGTCAGCTATCCGCCCCGCTCAGACCGAGGCTCTATCCCACCACAATCAAGAAACCCCCTTTGCTATCGGGGCTCTGCATACCTTTTCTGCAGACAATGAACAATCCTCTGCCTCATATCGCTCTACCCCTCAGCAATCCGACAAATATTTCGCCTCTGCCAAACAGACGGCCAAAACGCCATTCCGTCTTTTTACAGTTGCGCTCGACCGCCCCAGATTTGTCTCCGAAGCCGGTGTTTATTTCTACATGGCGGACTTCGATACTTCCGGGGATCCAGATCCTTACTTGGAAGTTTGCTCCGATGATACGCAGGTATTTCGGGTCGAGGATATGAGTACTGTTGCCGGACGATTGGGGGTAGTTGTTCTTGACGAGTGAGCTGGTTTTGTTTTGTGGTATACAATATGCATCCGTTTCCTAATTCTGGAGATACCACTAAGCAATGTTTCTCTCATGCATATCGAACTCCAAATGTTAGATTAGAATGCTGTGGCATGACAGGCTTTTACATCTACATCTACATTGTAGATGGCCATAGCACAATCAGAACTTAACGACGACCAGCTATTTGTGTGTAACAATAGGTAAACTCAATAGTATGGATTTTCGTTACTGAATTGTTCAAAGTTCGATTAGCAATTCAGCTTAGAAATTTACTGGATTTTGGGGGCCTGGATACTTCGGGTAGATAAGATCTAAATTTTCAATTGGCTACAGAAGTATCCATTATAGAGTAACAGTCCTTGAATCCTCACTACCGAAGGGATTGGGTCAGAAAGCATTCTAGCTTGCATTGGATTCGTGCCGACCACTATGAAAGTGAAGAACGATCCGGTTTGGGATGGCGGTTACTGAGGTCTGAAAACCAGGCTCGGTGAGCTTGCCGATCTAGAGGCTGCAGCTAGATATTATCGAGCTGCGAACTCCGGCAGAGGGAGTGGCGGAGGGAGCAGCGGAGCTTGACCTTAATGCGGAAGATCTGCTGCCATCCCAAACATCATCACCAACAGGCGTTTTCGTAATATCCACCTCAACCTCATCGACGGTGTTGACCCAAAGGTTCAACCCATTGAAAAGTTCCATAGAATCATTGTAAAGACCAGGAATCTTGTAAGTCAAGCTCGGGATGCCGTTTCCAGAGCCAGAAACCTTGATCTGGGCACAGCTATGGTTTATTAGTCAAAAATAATAAGTGGAGGGATCGTAGTCAAATTACCTGTAAAAGAATTCGGCCTCGTTGGATTGGGCACCATGAAGACCCACGTGCTCAGCACGAACGAGGTACTCGCCAGCCGGGGTATTGTCAGGAATCTGGAACTCAAATTCAGACATACCATAGGCACACCAGGCGGTCTTGGTCAGATCTCCCTCCTTATTGCAAAGGGTCTTCTCCCAAATCTTGAACCATTCGCCGTCGCCTTCGTATTCCTGAACGTTACCGGAGGGTGCCTTAGACATGTCTGTAGGATCGAAATTAGCCAGCACACCGAGTAGACGAATGATTGAAGACATCGACTTACAGACTTGACCGGGTCCAGGATGGGCGATGGTACCATCATAAAACAACCTCATGGCAATTCTATCGCCAGCTGCGACCTCAGCGACCTCGGTCTTGGCAGCGTTTGAGAAAGATCCCAGATTACAGCGGAAATCGCTATCACTAGGCGTCAAGTTGTCGAAAGTATTCGAATACTTGGTGGGCATATAGTTCTCGCTTCGAGTAGTCTGACGGATATACTGCCAGTCCGCCGATGCTTCTCCATCGATCACAAGCTTGCTGAAAATATAGTGTGCCGAAGCAGTCTTTGCCAGCACAGCGCCCATGGCGAACAGAGACAAAAATTGCTTCATCGTGGTGAGCAGAGAGTCGAATTGAGTTCAACGAAGAGAGAAAGGCGAAAGAGGACAGAGAAGGTAATATTGTATTGGAGAAGAAAATTCCCAATAGATCATGCCGGGTATTTATGTTTTGTTGAGAGATTCATGATGTACTTAATATTGCTTCAGGTTTCAATTAGAGCAAGATTTTATATTCGTCGCTGTCTAGCTTCATCAACTTGACACAGCTTTGGTCATCGTATTTCTTTTTAAGCCTGAGACAGGTCTCGTTAGACCGGACTTGGCTTGACTACTACTTATCACTAAGCCACTAACATCAGTAAAATACTGGTTGTAGATGGTGACACTCCAGAATGATTATTCCATTCGGGCGAGTCATCCAGTAGCTCTTTATTCATGAAAGCACCAGTGTGATAGAGATTAATATAGAAACAATAGATTAGCACATTCAAATGATAACCTCCAGTAGCTTGGCTGGTACTTTAGTGACAGTGAGGTCTTGTGGACTTTTGAGACAAGCTCCACCGGTATTGTTACAGATATTCGGCGATAGCCCACTCATATGGAAACCACATCTGACTCGAATTCCATTCGAACTACAAAAACGGATTACGAATGATGAAGTAGCCCAGGTGGGGCAAGGAGCCTCAGCATAGATGATCTTCTTGGTAGAGGCCCCCTTTTATTCTTATTGCAGAGATCTCAAATACGAAGACAGTCTAGGTCTATCGTTTGGACGGAAATCGAAAATGGAAATCCCGAGAGAAAAACATGCGTGGAAGGTTAGTTGAGTGGAGCCCTTCAGCGGCTGCACCTCAAGTTCGCCCAAATGAGGTTAGTCTCGTACTCGCATTCTCGCATTCTCGCATTCCCGCATTCCCGTATTCCCTTATTCATATATTTCGTACTCTATTCCACCCGTGCGAAGCCTGACATCTGGAGTACCCTTTTTGACTGGTCATGGAACACAGCCAAGGATCTAGTTAACGGGTATAAACGTCGAGTCACCTGGCGTCCAAAACGTGATCTTACTCACTATACCTACAATTTCATCGTTGTCGAAGTCCGATGCTTGCTATCTAAGTGGGTCGGAATGAGACTCAATCGACGGATTGCCCCACTGGGACTTCTACACGCGACTGTACCTTTGGGGGCTTATGCATCAAATAACAGACCTATCTCTTATACAAACCAGAATGGAACATGGATGATGTTCAATGAGCAGACTGTGCTCAGCCTGATCTCTGATGGGAAGACTCCCGCAGTTGTTGTCCTTGACTATGGACGCGACGTGGAAGGATTGGCCTTCTTTGACGTGGCTCGAAAGTCTGGAGACACCTCTATCTTTGAGATGACCTACAGTGAGACTCGAGCTCTGGTGGATTCTGAGATGGTACGTTTTCTACCTGCAACTATGGCTTCGGACTCGTGAACTAACAGCAATTTATCCAGGGCGACGGTCCCCTTCCCCTGGCGGCTGCCATGGACACGTACCGAGTCAACCGTTTCAATATCACTGAACCAAAAGTTTACCTCAATCGCCTGCTTCAGGGAGGCTTGAGATATCAGAAGCTCAATCTCTCCAGTGCAGGAGAGGTCGAACTTTCTTCTATCGGATTTCGCCCTACGGTTTCCACGACCGCCATTTCCGATCTCCCTGGTTCTTTCAGTTGTTCCGATCCTGTGCTCAGTCGTATTTGGGAATCTGGTGCCTACACTGTGCAGCTCAACGAGTTACCTGCCAATTCGACACCAGACTTTTGGACTATAACCCACGAGGGTGCGTTCGTGGACAGTCTGGCGCCTCAGCCACTCTCTACAGATTGGAGTCCAATGCTTACTGCCTACGAGTTGCAATTTTCCGTGAAGCCAAAGTCAGGAGGATTTGGCTTTACCGTTCTAAGTGATACACTTGGAAGCGGTATTTACATTTTTGTCAATATCGTAAATTCTTCTATATCTGCTCACGTCGGGTCCTCCGATCTCTCTGACCCCCTTGCGTCGGCAGCTCTGCCATCGTCCGTCACCTTGAACAAATGGCAGACGGTTCGCAGTGCGGTGAACATGACAGAGATCTCTGTTCAGGTCGATAACACTACCGTGTTCAACTTTTCTCAGAGCGCTGCATTTTACGGCTCGTTTGGACTAGGAGCATCTTTGGGCCACTCTGCTACATTCGCCGACCTCTCCCTCTCGGTTTCTGGGAAGCAGGTGTATTCGACCTCTTTGACAGATACCTCTTTCTTGGAACATTTCCTCCTTGGTACAAATCCGTTGCCTGTTAGCGTGGATGGCTCTCGGAGAGACCGTATTGCCTACGCTGGGGACTTGGAAATGACTACCGGCACAGCACTTGCAAGCACACAGGGCCAAGAATACATCAATGGCTCGATTGAGCTACTGGGCTCTTACCAACTCCCACCCGGCTTTTTTGTACCGAATGCCAAGGTCCAGCAGCTTCCTCGAACCACTCCGGTTGATGCGAATATCACCGGTCTCATCGGCTATTCATTCAGTATGGTGAGTGCTATGGCTCTCTTCTATGAGCAAACAGGTGATGCCAATTTTCTGAGCCGATGGGCACCAAAAGCCGCGAAAATGTTCGACTGGGCTCACTCTCAAACCCTTCCCAATGGTCTTTTCAATTTATCTGATGCCTCAATGGGCGGTGATTGGAACTACTATGACCCGGCCCTTTCCGGAGTCGTTACCAAATTTTACATGATCTACGCATATTCGCTATCTCAATGGATTCCATACATGGAAGCTTCAGGGATCAACAAGACCATGTATGAGGAGCGTCTCGGCTCCCTGCAGAATGCTATCAACAAATATCTGTGGAGTCCCTCACAGCAAGCATGTTATCTGTCTGAATCTCACAGGGACTTCTTTTCACAAGAAGCGAACGCTTTAGCTGTGCTGAGCGACACAGCTTCTCACAGAAGTCATAGCCCTAAAGCAGTTCTGGCAACGATGGCACGGGAGCTGACTGTGCCTGCAGGAGCGCTCGCCTTCTCTACAAAGAGCGCTGCGAGTGGGTGGGCACAAAAGATCAGCCCTTACGCCTCTGGTTATCATCTGAAGGCGGCATTCTATGCGAACGACGGTGATAGTGCTATTCGCCTCCTGAGAGGCATCTGGGGTCCTATGAGCGATCCATTGAATGCTAACTACACAGGTTGCTTCTGGGAAGTTCTGAGTGAGGATGGCACTCCTGGCATTGGCTCTCCTACATCAATGTGCCATGCCTGGAGCTCAGGACCTACCGCGGACTTGAACCGCTACGTTCTTGGTATTCAGCCCGTGACTCCAGGCTTCAAGAACTGGCAAGTTGTCCCCCAATCGTTGGACTTGAACTGGGCGCATGGAAAACACCCCATTCCCAATGGTCGAATCTCCGTTTACTGGTCCTTTGATAAGGCTGGTCTACTTCGAATGGAGGTAAAAGCTCCTGATGGTACCAATGGTACTGTTCATCTTCCTGTTCCTTTGAAACGGAAATTGAACAAGTATCGTGCCTCCGGATTTGTGTCCGATAACAAAGCTTCCTTTGTCGTTCAAGGTGGAATGAACTTCACCTTCCATCAAATGGCCTAGACACTTCAGGGCAACAGTTTGCAATATTCGAAACTCTTCAGACACCCAGGCGATCCCTCGTCTCTCCACGATCTTTCTCGGTCAGATTTGTACACTAGTGACTTTCTTTCTTGGTTTTTTTCTGCACTGTCACACTGAGCTCATTGACCATCCATATCACATATTCTCAATATCACATATTTAGCTGACTATTCATCGAACGCGGTTGTCTGCCTTCTCGGTGACAGAACTGGTCTGGGGTAGACAGAGCCCTACTCATCCCTTTCTCTCCTTTTCTTTCTTCTTCTACAGCCCGAATGCAGTCGAGTCTTCTTGCTCTCTTGTCCATACAAAATTAGTCATTGTCACCAATTATCTTCATGTAGCAAGGCGTGGACTTGGCGGTCGGGAGCACCTGAACTAGACTTTCCAAGTTCGCAATGGGCTTGGGTTGGGCCCGAGATCCCGCCCGGTGAGCCCAACCCACCCCAGAGCCCACAAATAGGCCCCCAATGCCATCTATGTGCATCTGTACGGTCTTGGCAGTTATGAACCTGTCCATTAATAGTTTGAATGTACAGTATTTCTCCCTTACGATCTCACAACCTTGGAACTGAATATAATGTACTAGGTACCTAGGTACTGCCTTTCAATGTTGGAAAGTACCTGGGTACTACTGGGTACCTAGGTAGGTATAGGTGTAAATATATATATGTGTACCTAGTAGCTCTCCAGGGCTACTGTACATTATTTTCATTTTCATTTAAGTAAGATTTTAACTATGCGTACACCTGGACAACTACGGCGGTCGATAGCCGCAAGTCGTTCAAAACGAATTCTGCCAAATTAAGATTATGTCATCACTGTATTTTATACGAAGTAGTATAATGTCGGCTTTTGCTGTAAGCTCAGTACTGGAAGAATATAGTAGATCTACAGTACATAAATATTTCATTGTAGATAGTGCGTTATTTCATCAATAGTAAAGTATAATATAGATCTATAGTATAGTATAGAATCAACATTGTGAACCTTTAGAATGTATTCAGAATTCAGAAAAATATTCTGCAATTTAGGCGGTCTACCACCCTGGTTGTTTTCAAGACTCTAATATTTTCAAGATTCAAAATCCCCTCTAGGCTAATTTCTCAATTGGAATCTTAGCTTCGGAAGCTTCAATATAACTTTAAGTCCCTAATTTATTGCGGAGCGAAGCGAAGCATTATAGTATTATAGAATCCTCTTTCCCTGCGCCCGTCACGTGACAACACTTTTGGTGGTGGGCTCAGAATCCATAGGAATTCTGCCCATTTAATGCGGTGAAAAAGGGCCCGGTGTAAAACGGCAGAACACTTCTGGGCGTAGAGGTAGGGGAGGGACCCCCCGAAGGGAGGGAGGGCCCCCCCCCTCGGAGCCCGGCTAGACAATAAATTTTGGTCCTGCACAACTACGATCTATCGTTTCGTTCCGCATGACTTTCTGGAGACCCTAGGCCACCGAGATCCCTAGTACGCAATCACGAAGTAGATTTATAGATGATTTGATCTTTTGACTCTGGAATTCAGAGTTTGGTTGGGGGTTAAAAATTCAGGGCTTAGAATATACTATAGGTATCTAGGTTATGCTGGGGGGGGGATTGAGTTGGGGGGTACTGGAGCTTGGGGGATGAGCTTGGGGGGTAAGCTTACCTAGGTAGGGGGTGAGTTTGGGGGGTGAGTTTGGGGGGTGAGTTTGGGGGGTGAGTTTGGGGGGTGAGTTTGGGGGGTGAGCTAGGGGGTGCTAGTGAGGGTTGGTATTATGTTGGAAATAATATTATACCGCAAAAGCGGTGCGTTTCAATTTGGCCCGGGCGGTATATCTTCACTATGGGCAAAATTCGTTTTGAACGACTTGCGGCTATCGACCGCCGTAGAAGCTTCTCGGGCTCGGGAGTCGAGACTCGAGACCCCAGGTATATGCATTAGGAAGGCGGAAAGATAGGCGGTCTACCAAGTCCGTACAAAAACTCCCGATTTCCCGCCCCACCCCCGTCTGCCTTCCAAGTTCCCCTCAACTCCCAAGTCCCTTTAACCTTGGTGAATGTACCGCCAACTTCTCCCGTCGGATAACGCCTGCCTCTAGGGGTATACGAACAATGCGCGATCGCTGTGATGTCAAAAGCACTGTTTTGCGAGGCATTGCTTGGAGCATCCTCTATATTTGGTTCATTTCCAACACATGCAGCGCAGACTTAGTGAATCGGAATGAAAGCTATGTGCTGACTCCAGAGTACCAGGTGAGCGGGTTTGCCAGTTCAACCAATATATCTATCGCTATAGCGACCACGATTCTCAACCCTGGGCCTTCACTTCCGATATGGCTTGACTATCATCTGCGCTGGGCCCAGCAGGTGGTGATCTACATGGATGACTCGGATGAACGCTCGGTTTTCGATCAACTATGTGGTGCCAGGCCCGTCACGCTGGTTCCAGGCTCTCAGGTCGAGCCTCGTATGACCCCGGAAAGTCGCCTCATCCGGCGTCAGATGGCCAATATGAGACATGCAATTCCCTACTTGATGGAGCATCATTACACCTGGCTTATCCATATTGACGTCGATGAACTACTTTTCGGGCCTCTTTTCGAATCGCTTGACTGGGCCACTGATCCTGAGATAGGCCTTGTGACTTTTACCAACCATGAGGCACTTCCAGTCGACTTCGAAACCTCCGATCCGTTCAGAGACTGCATGTACTTTTGGGTGAACGGGATGGACCGCAATGTCAATTTCTTGGCTTATGGAAATGGCAAAAGCGCCGTCCGTCTAGGGCCAGTCGTTGAGCCACGAGGTGCCCACTCGTTCTCTGGTCATGCCGGTCGTATATTAAAACCCTCGAACGAAGAGGCAATGGTACTACACTACCCGTACCCATCATACAACAGCTGGCTCCGCAAATTCAACTATTACAGCCGATTCTCAGATCACTGGTTTGGCGACAACCGGGCGCCCAAGATCATGGAATTCATGTTGCGCTCGCGGGACGTAACCCAGAACGCGCATAAGACTGGCGACTGGACCAATGCCCGGGAGTTCTTCTCGCGCAAGATTTTGGATCCCGAATCGAGAGAAAAAGCCATCTCCCAGGGTAAAATACGCTACTACGCGCCGTTCGCAGAGACTGGAAAGGGCTGAGCTTGCAGGACCCGATATTATGTCCCATTTTATCTGTGCGTCATCTGCCAAAAATCACTTTCTGTCTGTGGCCACTGTTGGAAACACGACTGGAGTCAAAATCGAGATTTCCTGGCCCACCTGGGCGTTGTTCAGTGATCAGCAAAGGCACTCCACTCTATGCACGGATCATCTCATGGCACAATGACGAGCAATCCGTGCAACTATCCTAGGTCAGTGTACTAAAAGCAAGGCACAACAGGGCTAGGCTGTCAGTATTTCATACTTCTGGATCTGCGTTAAGGATCTTCGCCAGTCTATGATACCTAGATACACATTGGATATGGCTTCGGTGGGAGCTGATCGTCTATTACTCCCGCTTAGGCCTGACTTTGCGGTCCGGACCTCGGGAGGTCCAATAAACAGGTTACCTAAGATTAACCGCTAGTAAGAGCACAAAATGACAGATATTCAAACATACCACATCAGCTTGCAGGCACCGGGCTGATAAGGGTATGTTGTTCTCTTGTCCTAGAGAATGCCTTCTTGAGGGAATGATTGTAGCTGTAGAGGATTGATCGTTGAAACCGATTTTTTATTCAATAGGTAGAGACCTGAAGGGTCTGATTTTATGTGACAAAAGGAACTGACAAGCAAAAAAAAGAACAAAGAACAGAGTGAACAGAGTGTCAGAAAAAGCCAAAGGTGAGAGAAGTAGATAGAAGCAGCAAAAGACAGAAAGGTGTGTGTACATGGGTGATGTCCCAAACTGCAGGAAGCTAAGGGTTGCAGGCGCCGGATCAATGAATGAATTGCTCCAATGATACGTTTTGCCCGCAAAGATCCGCGATTCGGTCGACCAGGTTAGTGATTTCCGCGGCGATCTGATGAGCGCCCTCTTTGCTGAACACGTCCGTGTCATACATGACAGTAAGTCGGTTCTGATTGTTGAGTGCCTTGGCGACCTCCACGACCAGCGCATATGGCTGATACATCCGGACCTTTGATTTAGCCATAACGAGCCATCGATCAGACTCGGATTCTTCGCTATTGGCAGCAGGTTCAAATGGCTGGTAGAGAAACAGACAGTGGTTGCTTGCGGTAGCCCTTGATAGACCGGCCGCGTTGAAGATTTCGTGCAAACCAACATCGCCATGCTCGGTGATACTCCAGAAAAGATCTTGCACCGACTCCAGATAGTCACTGAGAGCACTCTGAGGATCGATTTCCGCACGAACAGGGAGAAAGTTGGCCAGTGTGCCATTGATGGTCTGGGGGTCGACATCCACCATGTCCACGTTGCGACCGCTCAGAAGATAATCAAAGCTGACATCTTTCTGTCCACTTGCACGACAGAGCCACAGCTGATAGGCGGCCTGGAAGAGGATAGGGACAGTCACGCCTAGGGCACGAGAGACAGGCTCCAGGTTTCGGGGGATGACCTCCCGAACCGCGGCAGTGATCTTCGGGTTCCTTGCCTGCGGCCAGGTGTAATGCTTGTTTTGCATGGTCTGGGCCCAGAAACGTAGTGATTCCTCCTTGTCGGACTGGAAGATAAAGTTGGCAAAGTCTTTGAATTCGCCATGGTTGGGAATCGCTGCGCCACGTCGGATGGCAGCGAAATGATCATCAAATGTGCGAAGCAAGGTTCCATCGTATGCAGCGTGATTCATTTTGATTGCCACATCCCAGGTATCGTCGGAGTGCAACAGAATGGCATATTTGATGAAAGGCTTTCCGAATTGGAAACGATCATTCCAGAATTCTTCGATGATGTGGGACTGCTTCTCTTCGCTGTCACAGGGAATGATTGGCACATTCAACTCAGTGTGTTTCATGACAACGCCCACCCACTGAGCCTCTGAGGTACGAAGCCACGAAGTGCGAAGAATATCGTTAACTTCTGTCAAACGGCTAGTGTTTTGAATCCATTCGTGGTAATTTGTGGATTTGGGCATTTGCCGAACTGCCATGAGCACCCACATCTGGTCGGGCCGGTCACCCTCCTCCAGGAAATGAGCTTGTCCCGGGGGAGATGGATACACTGCGAAGAGTTAGTAATGATCATCTTCCTGGGTCATCACTTGCAAGCGAAAGGATGATGCTCACCATATTCCACATCGTCGTCGATTGCTAGACCGTGCTCACTGATCACGCCTAGCACACTGGGCGAGGCAGTGTAGGTTGGCTTCAGTACTTTTTCGCCTCTGGTATCAGGGCGCATCATCATCGAGAGGACTTCCAAGACCGGGTTTTTCAGTATATCCTTGACGCTCAGCAGGTACCCGGAACTGCGAGCGGCGCTAGCCAAGCTGATCGCTGCGATGGAGTCACCGCCCAAAGAAAGGAAGTCGGCTTTTTTCCCAATGCTAGCCGAAGGAAGGCCAAGAACCTTGGACCACATGTCTTGAAGTTTGGACTCCTGCTCGGTCTCTACCGGAACAAACTGATGCTGATTCCCATCACCCTCAAAGGAGTATTGGCTGATAGTGAGTGTGTCCAGCTGCTCAACCCACTTGGTGAGAAGCTTCCGGTCAGTCTTGCGGGAAGGCATCTTTGGGAAGTCTCCAACTGGCAGAATGTACTTGGGGATCATGTAGTGGGCCAGCGTGTTGAGCCCCGCGCGCAATTCTTGAACGTCGGACTCATAGCCATCCGCTGGCTGAATCTCGCACGATCCGGGCGAGAAAATGCAGAAAGCAACCAGCAGTTTCTTCCCATTGTGGTTGACAGCAAGAACGGCGGCTCCCTGCACAAGCCCGGTTTTCAAAATGGCTTGTTCAATTTCAGTCAACTCGATGCGGTGGCCATGAATCTTGACTTGGTTATCCTTTCTGCCCAAGCATTCGAGCTCGCCCCCAGGCAGCCATCGAGCCAGGTCCCCGGTTCGGTACATTCGGTCAGTGCCCAATATGTCCTCCATGAATGCAGCCTTGGTAAGGTCTTCGCGGTTCACATACCCGGCGGTAACTTGGGGACCTGCCACGCAAAGCTCACCAACCGAGCCGTATGGCACCATGGTAGTACCATCAGGATGTAAAACAAAGGCCATGACCGTTGGGAATGGTGCTCCGATGTTGCTGGGTCGACCACTAGAATCGACCTCTTTCGTTGTGATTACCATGGAAGTCTCCGTGGGGCCGTAGACGTTAAGAATACGATGGCCAGGACTCCAACGCTCAATAACATCCGGCGTGAGAGGCTCCCCGCCCACAATAAGCGTTTTGAAGGTAGGTACTTCGTTGGGATCAAGCAGTTTTGCAACTGTTGGAGTGAGGATCGCCTGTCCGGCAGACATTGCGTTGATCACGCCCGGCAAATCCGATTGCATCTTGTCTGGGGGCGCCATACACAAAGTTCCACCAGTGCTGAGAGTGTTGAAAATATCTTGTACCGAAGCATCGAAGACGTAATTGGCAAACTGAACCGTTCTCCACTCGCCAGAATATCTGCCCTCAGCAGATGCCATACTGATGACGGCTGCCGCTGCCGCACGATGTGGCACCTGTACGCCTTTTGGCATACCGGTGCTACCCGATGTATAGATTATATACGCCGTGTTTTCGGGGTTGATGGCAATTGTGGCGGAGGATCCAGGCAACTGATCAATTTCCGGGGCATCGATATGCGCAACTTCGAGTCCACGGACAGAAGAGAACATTTCTGCATGCTCTAAGTCGGACAGGATCAACCGTGCGTTGACATCGCCGATGATGAAGCTGTTGCGATCCAGGGGATTGTCCGGGCTCAGAGGCACATATGCGGCACCGGCCTTCATCACACCGAGGATTGCAACAATTGTATCAACAGACTTCTCCAGCATCAAAGGAACGGCATCTCCCACACGGACTCCATTGTCGATCAAGTAATGGGAAAGACGGTTGGCTCGGACGTTCAACTCTGCATAGGATAGCTGAGTTGTCCCATCCCAATCGATCGCGTGGGTGGCTGGAGATGTTTCGGCATGATTCTCAAAGTTGGCATGGAGGAGTGAAGGCTGGGGGACATGGAGGGTTCGGCGGTTTGATATCTCATTATGTAAGAAGTCAATCTCTGCCTCGCCCATGATTTCCAGTGTCGAGACACGTTGCATTGGGGCCTGCACAAATGCACAAAGAACCTTTTCATAGGATTCGAGAAGGAACTTCACACGTCGAGGCTCCATTTTGGAAGAGAGCTTCATGAGCAACTTCTCGTTGTCGTTCTCGATTTCCAAAGCAGTGAACTCAGAATCCCAAGTGGGCCGGTCCCCGTAACGCTGGAAGATTTGGCTGACTTGATCCCCGTCATCATCTTTCACCAGGATGTTCACCATTGTGTCAAGATCATTTGCTCCAAGGCTACCCGCAGCAAGTGCATTGCGCATACCATGTTGCGAATGTTTCAAAGCCTTGAACAAATTGGCCTGAACTGTCTGGGCTAGCTGCAAAAGTGTGGCCTCGGGCGCCACATTTACCTTGTGTGGAACTGTGGTCAAAGTGGGACCATCGAGACGGTCAATGTCAAGCACTGGAACATCACGACCGGAGAGACTGGTTGCGAAAATCACATCGGCATGGCGAACATGATTGGAAAGAACAATGGCCCAGGCTCCGTACAAAACAGCACCTAACGAGAGCCCATGAAGTTGAAGTGAGCGACGTAGAGGACCTTCTGGGATTCTGCGTTGGGAAACGGTGGTGTGCGCCACAGGCACAGTGTTGATAACACTCTTTTCCGTGTTTGTCAGATACTTCCTCCAGAAGCGGTCATGCTCACTTGCGGAATCGGCCGCATTGTGGTTCACAAAGAGCTTGAATTGTGGTCGTGGGCGAAGCTCGAGGCCGAGATAAACGTCGGCAACATCCTGATACACAAAGCGGTGCGACCAGTAGTCAAACAAGGAGTGATGCATGCTCACCACCAGTACCTTTCCAGCAACGATGGCCACTCGGAATAAGGGACCAGAAAGGGAAAATGGTTCTTGCTTATCTTGTTCGAGATATTGGCCAAGTTCTGCCTCAGACTCTGTCCAGGGTAGCGTGATGTCATTCCGGACCACCTGAAGCAGGCTGCGGCCCTCGGGCTGGAATGTTGTGCGAAGGATATCGCTCGAGCCAAGTACCGTATCGAAGCTTGCTCGTAGCTTCTGAATGTCAAGGTGGCTGACATCCCATGTGCGCTGGTAGGTATACATCCCGTGGTCCTCGCCAAGACTAGAAAGTAGACCCTCTTGCAAAGGAGTCGCTGGGTATGCATCGCTGACGTTAGGGTCTTCACGGAGTCGCCGTTGCACTTCAGGGTCCCGGACAAGGACGAAAGGCTGCAGTTCGGCGTCATTGTCTGCCACAATTCTCACAAAGGATGATGTCTCCCTCAAAGTGGCGTTTCCAAGTACGTCTCCGAGATCAATGGCAATCCCAAGTTTCCGCAACTCGGAGGTGACTCTGATGCCTTCAATTGAGGTTCCCCCAAGCGAAAGGAAGGAAGTGTCACGGCTGATGGAGTGCTGCGGCAAAGCAAGTATATTGGCCCAGACGCTAGCGATATGTTGCTCGGTCGGATCAGTAACAGTCTCTGTTGGAGCATTCGAGGCTGCCGCTTCGACTAAACCTTCCCAGCCCGTTGCAAGTGCTTCTCGCTCAATGGCACGGATGTCCACTTTTCCGTTCCCATTTGCCGGGAGTTTAGACATTTGCATCCATAAGGAAGGGACCATGTAGGCTGGCAGCTTCTGCTTGCTGTGGTCACGAATCGAGGCAACTAGCTCGCTCCATTGATGCCCGGGTGTCGGGGTGATTGCTGCAACCAACACGAGACGATCGCGCATCTCGACGGCAACAGTCGCACAGGTGTGAACACAGTCGTGTTGTGACAGAATTCGGTTCACCTCCGCTGGGTTGACTTTTTGGCCGTTAAGCTTCACTTGGAAGTCCACGCGGCCTAGAATCTCAATTGAACCGTCGGCGTGGATCCTAGCCACATCGCCAGTCCGGTACATACGGCCTATGCCGAAAGGATTTTCCACGAAGGCTGGGGCAGCATTCTTCCCAGCATTTTGGTTGGACGTAAGATAGCCCGAAGCTAGCTGCGGGCCCGCCAGGCACAGCTCGCCGGCAACACCCATTGGGGTGAGTTCGGTGGTGCCGGACTTCAAAACATAGGCTTGTGTGGTATCTGTAGGGCGTCCGACAATGCCAGGATTGCTGCTGCGAGAGAGGCGCTTTCCGAAGTTCAACTGGGCACACTCACTCAGGCCAAAGGTGTTCCGAAGATCGACATGATCTGCCCATGTGGTGACGAGCTCGCGGGGAATACTCTCACCCACCAGCGTAACTTGCTTGAGATCAGGCACATCGCTGGGCTCAATGAGAGATAGCGCCGATGGCGTTATTCCAAGAGCATCAACTTGCATGGCGAGGATAGTGTCAGCCAGGCGCGTCGTCAAGCGTTGCTTCGAGGCAAGAAGAAGAGTTCCTCCGTGGGTCAAAGTTGAAAGCATTGTTCGCTGGGCGGCAGAAAAGGTGGGGTTATAGAATAGCAGCCATCGCTGCTTTCCATTCAGGGCATGATACGCCATTCCATTGGTGGCTGCCCGATGAGTGACAACTGCACCTTTGGGCACACCAGTTGAACCGGACGTGAATACCACATAGCATGGGTCTTCGGCGCGGATATTAACATTCAAGTTTTCAGAAGCTTGCTCGTCATCACTTTCAATCACCAAATCCTCGATTGCCAGAGCATCCGGGTATGAAGATGCATAGCGCTGGGTCGTTAAAACCAGTGTCGCAGAGCAAGTGTCGACGATGCGAGTATTTCTTTCAACTGGACCTTCTGGATCAAGCACTGTGTATGCTCCGCCTGATTTAAGCACTGCCAGTATGGTGACGATGAGATCGACTGAGCGGTCGAAGCAGACTGGGATGATTTTTCCCATGACTGAAGGCAGGGCGCGTGCCATCCGATTAGCACGTGCATTGAGCTCGGCATAGCTCAGTGGGGTATCCTCCTCAAATTGCACAGCGGCGGCTTGTGGACTCTCTGTCACACACTCCTCGAACAAACGGGGGATGATGGAGGTCTGGTGGGGACGGGCCAAAGCCTTAGCTGTGCGCACCTGCTCGAGCTTTTCGTCTCGTGAGCTCAGTTCAAGTCCTTCGAGACGAGCGTGGGGTAGATAAAATTTATTGAGGGCGCTATAAAGAGCATGAGAGAAATGGTGCAGGAGCAACTGGGCATCAGCTGTCGCTGTCAGCGGTGAGTGGCAAAGTGTCAGAGTAATGACACCGGTCCCGTTGATGAACATCGCGATGGGGAAAGGCGAGAGCTGCCCGGCAAGAGTGGGTCCGTTGGGGTCCGGAGAGTACATGAGAACCGACTCGAGCGGCTTTGTGAGTTCCTGGGACAGGGTAGAGTAGCCCAGGTAGGCGTGCGGAGATGCCGACTGATGGAAGGCAGTAAGGCGGTTGGACAGTCCGACGAATGTTTCCTCGCTCGAGACTGACAATCGTACTGGATAGGTATGATCAAGGTATCCCACGCATGAGGCAGCGTCTGGGAAGCTCGCATCACGTTCCACGGCCGCAAAGAGAACATCGCTAGCTCCAGAATGGCAATGCAAGACATAGGCCCAGAGAGTTTCAAAGATGAGCTTTCGTGGCAGCCCCGAGGCATGCTCAATCTGAGACAGTCCCGGGTGCGAATTGTCATCGAGATGAAGGCGAAGCGCCTGACGGTCCTGCGACACACTGACATCTGACAGTTCAGTGTCCCAGGGCAGCGCGACCGCTGGCACGGCACCACTGAGCTGGGTCTTCCAGAATGCCACGCTGGTGGCCTCGTCTTTGGTTTCTTTCAAGAAGCGCTGGTATGTTGCCAGCGGAGTATGTTCGGGTAAAGGCAATCCGCAGTACAGCAGGACAAAATTGCGCTTTATGATTTCCAGGGAGGTGCCGTCCACGGCGGCCCGTCGCGCGCGTAGTGTCAGGCGATAGCTGCCGGTGCTGGGGTCACGGCAAACGACCAACTGCGCCAGGTCGTCCTCGGCCGGGACATCCGCCAGGGATGAATTAGAGGACGATACGTTGCTTCCAAATTGCTTGGTATCCCACTGGATCTCTGGGGTGCGAAACACCACCCGCTGATAGGTCTTTCCCGAGCGAGGATCCGAGCGGAAGACTGTACGGAGGCCGCAATCTATACTTTGGTCAGCATTCCCGAGCGGGTTCCCCAGACTCGAAGGTTCGTATCACGAAAACTTACGGTGAGAGCAGATCTGCATCCAACTCGATTGGATTCGGTTCATATCAGGTGCAGACTGGCGAGGCAAGATCAAGCTAATCTTGCACCAAGGCATCTCGTCCGACTCCAGGATCTGACACTGCGCTGGAGTTGCGGGCCATTCGACCTCCAGGTCAGTGCCATGGAGCATGCTCTCGATGCCCCCAAGGTTCTGGTCATACAGAACCTCCGCATGGCTGAAAGGATCGGGGGACACGAGGTCCATGGCGTTCATCTGGATGAGACTCATGATGCTTTTTGTAATGTAGCGATTTTGCTGAAGGATAACTCCTCAAAGTGGTTTGCGATTGTCGATTCCTTTTGTTGATCTCTGTTGGGAGCGCTGATGGATTGAGGGCCAGATGCTTCTCATTCCATCCTTTATAATTGTTCTGTTTCATCGATGAAGCCATCTCGAAGATCGTCAACTTTCCCCTCGAGTAGGATTTCCGTTTCTCCCTTCGCACGTTTCTCGACTTGGGCGATCCAAGCGTACGTTGCAAAGACGCAGGTCCCGGTTCACGCATTGACGTGTAGTGGCACCGGGAAGTTGACCATTGCGCCATGTCGGACACGGCGCGCAGTGGTCACGCATCTCCGAAGTTGTCCGGAAGACGCGTCGGGGAGACATTGCGCCAAGCAGAGAGAGCGCGGGAGGTGAGAGCGGAAACACTGTGGGGCTCCGGAGACCCTCAACACTTGCACCCGGCAATATCTGCGATCAGCAACATCTGCGATTAACAACCTCCGGAGCAGAAGCCTTGGAGCACGGAAATGATGTTTTGCCTGCTGCTTGTCTTGGGTGGCGAGGACTCCCATCGTCAGATTCCCCTATAAATATCAGCCCATCTCATGGCCAACTCAACACAAACGTCTCTACTTGACAAAACCACACCACGCATTCAGCACAATCAACACAGTCTTTCGATCACCCGCCATCATGACTACCTGGAACAACCGCGATGTGACCGACAACCACCTCTTGCCGTATGTGGATTCCGCCACGGCCCCGGAGGAGGTCAGCGCAGCCCTGCGAACACTACCTTTCGAGCGGAACATCTTCAAGGTAAGCTATCTCTTTCATCGAATGTGTTCAGAGCCAAATGATCTAATATCTCATTCCAAGATGGTCGCCAACGCGCCCACCTTTTTTCCAACCTTCATGAAGCTGCTGACCTGCGCCTGGTCTCCCAATCGCAGCTTGCGTTCCAAAGACTGGCAATTGGTCGTGCTGCGCACCGCGACCCTCCTCGACGCTCCGTATGAGTGGGATGTCAATGAGCCCGTGGCGCGGGTCTTCGGGTACACCGAGGCCCACCTGACGGGTCTCCGATCCGGGGACATGAGCTCCACGGAGCTTTTCTCGGATCGCCAAAGGCTGATTAGTGCCGTGGTGGAAGATCTTTGTCTTCGCGACCGGGTCAACAAAGACACTGTCCTCAAAGCCAAGGAAGTCCTGGGAGATGAAGCTCTCATGGACTTGTTCTTCACCCAATCAATCTACGCGTTCCTCGCCCGCACCATGAACAGCTGCCTGATCGACTTTGATGCGCCCATCCCGGGATTAGAAGACACTCTCCGCAAGTACAACGCTCACATCATCGAGCGGGAAAGTGCCTATACCGACTAGGCCTTCCAAGGTTGCATTGGGCACTTGGTCGGGCGGAGGCCTATCGCTGTACATAGAATAACTGCCACTCAATGATTTTTGTTTGCCTTTTCCATCATTACATCATAAATCCATAAATACCAGGAGAATGAGTCTGCTTCAAAATGAGCCATCAGCTCCACAGGCATCTCCAGGCTTCCTTCATCCGTCGCCGCGAGCATGATTTGATCAATGTCGACCTCCAGGGCTCTCGGGGTTTCAGTGGGCACAAAGCCCACCAATGGGCCCCGGGCGGGGGCCCACCAGGCCCCTGTTAAAGAACACAACACACGACGATGTGAGGGATGACCCGTGGACCCTGCGGGCAGTGGTGGACGACATCTCGGACTTGTGAAGCCATATTAAGGAACAGAAGCTGATTCATGCAGTGTGCAACTTGGAATTTCTTCATCTCTTGCCGACCGCCGAACTGCTCAGGTGCGACCTGAAATACCCCTGTCTCTGTGTCGACCTCGGGACCCACGCCAAACGCAAAATTAACTAAAATATATGTCAAAGATTGAATGTTAAACTCATAGTCACCACCTATCTCGTATCTAGTAGGTAAATATACTGTTTAACCGTACTAGGTAGGGCGTTCTATTCCAATGTTCAATTACATTGTTGTTCCAAGTTCTAGGCGCTCTCACATCCACGAATATATAGTTGTCTCCCAGTCTGACCTGGCACAATCCTGGAACATATCCCACTGTTCTTTCCCTGAATGAGTACTAGGTAGGTACCTAGGTAATAACTAATTTTGTGCGGAAAAGGTTAGCTAGAAAAACGATCTTGGAAGTACCTTTTGGATGTAGAAGCAGTATTAAAAGTACATAGACTCCCCAAATTTTGTCAGACTATGCCCAAACAGAAGGTCCCCCGAGGCCCGGAAGGTTGTTGACTACCTAGGTAGGTAAATCCAGTGGCTAGCAGAGCCTGTTTGGTGTGCTGGTGCAAAATATTGGGAATCCTGGAATTACCTACTAGGTGAGATGAACATAGATACTTTGTAGCATAGTTCTCTTCTACTAGGTATTTTCCAAAAAAAATAAACATCGAGTCTGGTATTTGAAGTTGGACATGCCTGCCCAGGTAGACGCCCGGAAGCCCATCGCTTCATGTACATCAGCATCAAACAGCCTCCCAAGGTTGGAAATACAACGACCTAGAAACTCGCTCAAAACCGTACAACGTGCTTGGCACACCCAACAACCGGTCCTATCTTACCCCCAGCTCGAGCTAATACCGACTGGACTTTCTTCTCAAGATTTCCACCTTCTTCTTCCCAGTCGACGCGGTTAACCGGTGGGGCAGTGATCTTCCCTTCTTCAAAGAGCTCGGTGAACCAGGTAAGAAGATCAATCTGCGCATCTTCCGTGTAGCGCGCCAAAGCTTGAGAGAGCCGGAAATTCTTGAAAGTAATTTGTTTCCAGAAAAGGAGTTCCTGACTGAGAACCAGTTCACCAGTCGCCCCTCCCAGTGACCCGTAATTGATGAAAGTGGCCCCTGGTGCCAGCATTGCGGCCAGTCGCTGGCCAGACTGACCGAAGACCGCATCCAATGCCAGAGTAACGCGGTTCCCTCCTGCGATCGCGCTTGGTCCTTCTTTGGCAAGCTGAGACTCGGTGACAACCACACGCGCCCCCTGGTCAAGAAGTGACTGTCGTGTGGCCTCAACATCATCTCGGTCCCGGATCACACAGATACTCGGGCATCCCTTGAGCAAGGCAAACTGAACCACCATTCGCGCAATCCAACCCGTCGCGGCATTCAGAACAACCCAGTCCCCTGGACTCAGGGATGGGCAGCTTTCGAGTAGGAGATAAGCCGTCGAGCAGCCTGTCTTCAACAAACTGGCGGTCGTCGGTTCCAAGTTGTTGGATATTTTCAGCACAGCGGTTGCCGGGACCACGGCTTCTGTGCGCCAGGTCCCTAGGCCATGGGCGCGCGGAATGACATGATCTTCAGTCTTGAGTGTTGTCACATCAGATCCTACGCGCACAACACGAGCCACGCCATCGTATCCGGGGATAGGCTCGTCATTATAGCGATGGTGGGGTTGGACAGGATACCGTCCGGCAATGACCAACAGATCCTGAGGGTTCACGGGAGCGGCTAGAAACTTGAGAAGCACAGAGTTTGCGGGAAGTGGAGCGTCACCGACAGCATCGTGACGGTGAATGCGAATGACACTGGCGGGCTCTGTTGACTGGCGCTGGAATGTGACTGTCTGGGCGGACATGATGTAATATGAGGACGGAGGCAGATACTCAGTCACATACTGAGAACTCCGCAGTAGTGTTTCCGGTCATCGTTCTTATAAGCAACATCCCAGGATTTGTTGATAAAGGGAGAAGTAGATTTCAAAGCATCTCCGGGCCCACAGGGTTTCCGGGCCAATCAGAACCTGCCGGTGTGCGACTCCACACTGTTTCCGCCGGAGACCCTCGAGCTTGGCGCAGTTCCCCCCGGGGAGCCAAGCCCTGGGAGATCGCCCCTAGCCTATTGGGTGCTTCCCGGCCCGTTGCTCCCAGGCTAGCACGGCCAAAGCATATCCGTTTCGGATACATTCACATTCTGTGGTATTACGAATCAATCACGGTGATAAATAGCCACTGGGGCTCCCGGCAATGATACTCATCAGTTCACCATCAAGACAAAAGCAAGACTTCTTAAGACGCATCTTTCATTTCTCCGTCACTCTTCCAACCACAGGCTTTCGGTGACAGCTATCACTTCGACAATGGATAAAGCTCCAAACGATTCGTTGCGGTCCTCATCTTCCGAGCCGCCCTCAGAGACACAGATCGAGAAGCCACAATCTCCAAGAGATGTGCATGGAATTAAAGTATCATATCACCCTCACCATGGTTGCGCGCTGTTTGCTAATTCAATTTTCAGTGGGCCTTGGTTGTTATTGCGCTGCTTTCATCTCTCTTTTTGTATGCGCTTGATAATACCGTAGTGGCCAACGTTCAGCCCAAAGTCGTCGAAACCTTTGGCCATGTTAGCCTCGTTCCATGGCTAGGTGTCTCCTTTGCACTGGCGTCCGCTGCGACAACTTTGATCTGGTCCAAGGCCTATGGCACTTTTTCCGCAAAGAAACTCTACATTGGAAGCACGGTCGTGTTCATGGGCGCTTCGGCGCTCTGTGGTGGTGCTCCGGATATCAACAGCTTCATTGTGGGTCGCGCGATCGCTGGCGCGGGAGGCTGTGGAATGTATATGGGTCTGTTGACCTTGATGTCAGTCACAACAGACAACATCGAACGTCCAAAGTACCTCAGTCTGACCGGGTTCATCTGGGGTATTGGCACAGTGTTGGGTCCTGTTGTGGGCGGTGCTCTCGGTGACAGCAAGGCAACTTGGCGCTGGGCATTTTACCTCAACCTCCTCGTCGGAGCAGTCGTCGCTCCGGTTTATTTCCTTCTGCTTCCCGACTTCAACCCCCAAAAGGATGTTCCAATGAGCAAACGCCTTGGTCAGATCGACTACATTGGAGCACTTTTGTCGATTGGGACCCTTCTCTGCGCGATCATGGCTCTAAACTTCGGCGGTGTTCTGTGGACCTGGGACAGCTCAAACAGCATCGGCCTCTTTGTCGGAGCCGGTGTCCTCCTCATTCTGTTTTTGGTGCAACAAGCCTTCAACCTTGGAACCAACTTCGACAACCGCATGTTCCCTATGCACTTCTGGAGAAGTCGTACTTTGATTGTTCTCTTCTTTACTATGAGTAAGTCCCTGCTCCTTTTCTACGACCCAAATATGGCGCAGAAATTAACTATCAATAGTGTTGGCGACATTCGGTAGTTTCATTGGCATCTACTACCTGCCCATCTACTATCAATTTGCCCGCGGTAGTACAGCGGTCGAAACATCTGTTCACCTGTTGCCTTTCATCTTGCTCCTGGTCGCCTTCAATCTGATTAACGGGCAGTTCATGGGCAAGACTGGCTACTACTACCCCTGGTACATATTTGGAGCCGCGTTGGAGCTCATCGGTGGCGTCCTTCTTTGTAAGTGATTCTCAGATACCCACACCGAACCCACTTCTACGAAGCACAAACTGACCCGCCTGACTACAAAAAGACACCGTCGATGAAAAGACATCAGATGCCAAGATCTACGGATACACCATCCTTCTGGGAACCGGAGTGGGTTGTTTCTGCCAAGCTGGATTCGCAATCGCACAAATGAAAGTCAAACCCGAGGAGATCCCCTTCTGTGTGGGATTCATGACTGTTGGACAGATGTTGGGCATCGTGTTTGGCACTGGTATCTCCGGTGCTCTGTTTGTCAACTTTGCCCAACAGGCCCTGCAGAAGGTGTTCCCCTCCGCCACAGAGGACGAAATCTCTAATGCTATCTCCGGTGTTGGCAGCCAGCTGCTTCGCTCTGCCAGCTCCGAAGAATACGCGGCAGCAATTCACGGGATCACGGAGGCGATTCAACTAGCATACGTGCCTATCATTGCGGCAGGTGCAATTTGCTTGGTCTGCAGCCTAGCTATGAAGCACGAAAAGGTGTTCGTCACCGGTAGCTTTGCGGGCTAAATTCAAAAGCTTGGAAGAGGGTCGACGATGATGAAGAAAGGGCTGACGATACTTTGTGAGAAGGAGTGGGACTAGCAGAAGTGCTCAGGTGGCGTGAAGCTAACGAGGGAGACGTGTTCATATAGGGGGAATTGCAGAACTATTTTATAACTGCAAGTTCGAGGCAAACTTCAACAAGATAGATACTTTTGGTTACTGCCAAGAATGATGATCATTATTTTTCTTTACTTTATGCTCAAGGACGAAGAGAAAACTTCCAAATCAAGCCAAAAGTTCAAACGATGGAGTGAGCGTGAACTGATCGCAAGTTTAGAGCGTCGGCAATGAACACAGCTTGAGGTTGTGTTATCTACTCTAGGACTGAGGACTGCGATTGCTCATTAATAGAAGACAGAGATGAGGTAGAGATCAGTCACTCTGATTGTGCGGCGTAAGGTCGGATGAACATTATTTACCCGCGTAGCCCATCTTAATACGCCCAAAGAATGAAACATCAGGGTCTATTGTATTCTAAAACTGAAATATGGAGGGCTCTTCAGACAGATCTGTGTAAGCCTAAGATTTGTTAGTTTGCTTACCACGGAGATCGGCGACGATGACACTTACCCATGAATCCAGTTGCGCCCACCAGGCTGAATTGTCCGAACCATCTGGAAATCCGACTCCGTCGTATAGTTTGAAAGAGTCGTCCACAAGCTCAGAGTCAAAGGGCTCGATTTGCAATGGATCAAAGGCCGTGATAGTCGGGTTTGCGGGGACAGTACTGATGGAGGTAGAAGGAAAGGTAGGCTGAGGAAAGCAGTCTGCTTTGGGAATGTCCTTCACAAACTCCTCGGTCTCAATATCATCCCCCGGTCGGAGGTTCGATACCACTTGTCGGTGAACCTCAAGACGCAATTGCTCCAAAATTATACCATATCGACGACTGGGACTGCTTTTAGAGGTGGCCTTTCCGAGATGTTGTTGGCAGGTCTCGGCCAAGCTAAAGAGATACTGCAGCTTGCTGCTGCTGTCCAGCTTTTTGTTCGAGATGTCACCAGGCAATCCTTGGTGATGCTTGATAATATGGATGTAAACCACGGTAATGGCGCAGAAGCACACATAATGTGTAAACCAGAAGCCGTGAATGAGAGCTTTATTTCGGGCGATGCTGTTGACGACGGTCATAATTTCCTCGGCGGCACCAATGCATTTTTGGACGTAGGTAGAGACACTTGCTTGTGGCACATTGTCGCAGTCATTCAAGAGAAAGAGACGAGTGATGTATATGACCGCGTGCGAGTGAGCAAGCTGCTGGATCTGAGATCGCCAGCGATCCATTACTGGCGCGGCACCCTCCTTCCACCGTTCCAGTTCAAGAAGTAAGAGGACGGCCGCTTCAAAAGGAGAACCCCTCGGCAGATTAAGGCTATACAACTTTTTCGAAATTTCCGCCAGTATTCGGGAAAGTCTTGCCATCGTTAGCCGGACTTGCACTTCTTCAAAATCCATACCACGCGTTAGAGACTGACCGGTAATGCAACACAGATGCAATCATCAAATCATCCGGCACGCCCGATCGCATGCTCGGATCGTTAACCAACAAGTCTTGATCCGACACCTCGTCTGGAAGCTCTTGATCAAAGTCTTCATCGTGTAGCAGCCGCGGTCGACCAAACATCACGCTCAAGTACTTATCCAGTGTGTATACGCTCCAAAATGTTCTCTTCCGAAGCTCCTGCTCCATGTAAGTACCCTTGCCCTCATTGATCATCGTGGGCGGCCATTTGCGATGTAGGTTGAGGGCAGTCAAGAACTGAACGGTAGTGCCGAAGGCGAACCAGCACTCACTTGCTCGGGAAGACGCAAGGAGATACAGGCTTCGGTTCAGTCGCGCTTGTACTGTCTCCAGTCGTGGCGCACCTGACTCAATCGCTGACATTCGCTTGGAAAGAGCAAACCAGCGTTCGCTTGATGAAAAGAGAATCAGCATACAGGGATGCCTCGACGGGCCAGTTTCAGACTAACCTCTGCTCATCGTGGTCAATTTCAGAGTTCGGAGCTCGCCTCTCGTAGAGGGTTCCAATGGCGAGAACACTGTAAACAATACAGCATCGTCCTACCATGGCTTCTGCAGGGGGGTTTGTTGCAGAAATGTTGCTAGCGTAGATCTGACGAACCCATCGCTCCACCTGACCACGATGCAAGAACCTGTAAGTCACCATGGCAGAGTTGAAGTACGTTGCCACGATCTCCAGTGCTCTTTCCAACGGGGGTAGGGTGAAATCAAGTTTGTATAGGCTCGAATATGGCTTGTCGCCAAATTTGGTGACCGACGGGCTGTCTGAGAGTTCACCCTGCAATGCATCCGAGACGCTCACCGCGCCAATAGAAGAAGGCTTGCCTTGATTGAGGTCCTGACATACTCGGTTGATAAACGAGGTTCCTGACGCTAAGTCTAGATAGCCTCCAGGGAAGTCCGCGGTCAAGAGATCAATATTGCTTGTGGGACCCTGGGTGGACTCATGCTGTGCGAGCTGTTGAATGGGCAGTGGGAGGCTCGGGTCATGTTTTAGGAGGTGCTGCTCGCCTGAGTGGTCATCAAAGGGAATCTCCAATGGTGGTGGCGGTGGTGGGCCCAGCCCCCGGGAGTACGTCGTCTCATACTCACACGCCAAAGACAGTCGCAAGCAACGCGTACATGGGCGAGTTCCACTGCACCGAGTCTTTTTCTCTTTGCAAATATCGCACGCCCTAACGGTCTTGAGTCGCTGGGAGCTCTCTCCTTTCACCGGACCCGCTGGCTTCCGCTTGCCTTTGGCGATCGCGTGGGGCTCCGCATCTCCACCGTAGCTGGACTTCACCGGAGGCACCATCGGCGACAGTTTCACGGGGGTGGACGGGTTCATTTGCGCTTGTTCACTAACAGTCATGTAGAGCTCGGCTTTGGGCGACAATCTTGACACAGGGGAGAGACTCGATTGCTTTGTGGACGATCACAAGGCACACGAAAAGCCTGGAAGCGCCGCGTTTCCTCGAAAGCTCGGCATGGGGGCCAGGTATGAGGTGCATACTCGTATACGCCATTGCCTTTGGTGAGATTGTCTTTGTACGTAAAGCGGCGTCAGACGAGGACGAAAAAGTCCCCCCCACAATGGGGAATACGAGGCCGAAGCCCGCCAATGGGATAATTTTGCCTAGGCCCAAGCGTTCAGGCGAAGAGGACTTGGATCCTGGCGGGTGGCTGCAAGCCCAAGGTCGATCGTTGGTCGGGCTTCTTCAGGGGCGGATTCAAGCTTAAGCTTCTAGGCTGGGCGAGGCCCGGTACGGGTGGAAGAAGACCGGGCGACCTGGCCCCCCAGGCTCCAGGGCTGCTGGAACTGTAAGGCATCGGTTCCCTAAGTAATTCAATCCTCACACCGACAGGCACGTCATCCACTCTGATCGCATTCGAGTAAAGTGAGACCTGAAAACCTGGATGATGTGCGTCGGTTCTAGCGGAAATAGCCGTCAAGCCACGGTTGCTGCCGAACCGAGGCAATCCTCTGCTGATCCTCATCACTGTCAGATTTTAGGAGGGCATTCCTTCACAATTTGGGTTTTGGCGCGTTTTGGGCGATTGGGGGCCAAATCCGGTCTCGGTACGGAGTAGTTTCGCTCCCTTTCAATTTTCATTACTGGAACATTTGAATGTGTACGAGTCGACTGGCCTCCAGTAGTGTGAGAATGGATGCTTGTATACGTGGAATTGCCTTGGTGAATTCGTGTCCAGTGTGTCCCACATATTCACAATGTTCCAGCACTAAGATGGCCAAGTAATTTAGATTGACCTGGGCGGAGGCGCTCCACGTCCTGTCTTTCTACGGAGTACGGAGTAGCCGGCCAGATTTGTTTGACTTGTGGATCAACGGAACTCAGGGGCTGATCCCCGATAGATCTACTTTAGACCAGGGCATTCATCCGCGAGATTGAATGACAACTGGTCTGCCCTGATGGGGTCAAAATGCAAGCACATGCATATGAGGGTTATTTCTTTCGTCAGGAGCCAACTGAGGTGGTATCCGAGGCGCTGCCAAGCCGCGCACAACCTGAAACAAGAAGCTCGTATGAAAGGGCATTGAGTACAGTACAGACAGAGCTGATCCACATAAACAAAGTCACAGGCTGGTTGAAGTGCGCCCTCTGTCTTGTCGACTGAATCTTCAGTTGATCCTGTCCAGGGTGCTCCGGTCAAACTGCTTATACGAGCGCATTGGGCTCGTATAAGCTTTTAGCGAATGATGCATACATCAATTGAGGTACCTACCAAGGTAGGATGACGGATGTCGATGAGTTGATTACTTCTCATTGATCTGAGTGACGTACGAGGCCCATCGCGCCACATACATGCAATCTGACATTTTCCCTTTGATCATCCAATCTCGTAAATTATACAGGGTTTCAATCCGCTCATGCAGTCTCCTGTCTCCGTTCTTCTCGATCGGGTGGTCAGTTCACACCATAGTGCCAAGTGCCAATCAATCTGGCTGCCTGGGCCCCGGGGCTTCTGGCAAGAGCTAACTAGACCTTCAGAACAACACCCTACCTACATAGGTAGGTGGATGCCAAGTTACCCCCCAGGGTGATATCCAAAATGACACAGATCTGGAAGATGCAGTTCTTTGTATTATCATTCTCGAGGGCCAGCTATAAAACGATTCCCAGACTCTCGTGGGGCCGCTGGGAGACTACTAGAGTTGGATGTCTGGTCCTACGGGTCTACAACGATAATAGAGCGTCGTCTTTGTCTGATGCGGAATGGGGCGCGATGAGAGAGTCGAACAAATCAGGCACGTACCTAATAGAAACAACCAGAAATGTCAAAAACGTCTACCTAGGTATTATTCTCACTTAGCAAATCTACCAAAAAGTCGTAGACTTACCAGCACAGACTCCAGTATCGCCTGGGAGTCATTTGATCAAGGTGCAAGATCGAGCCCTGCGATGACCACACGCGCAAAGTCGGGATTCCCAAAAAGAGCGCGAGGTGCCTGGTGGGCAATCGAGGTTCCGTTTGCTGCGTACCGAGAATTGAAGAGACTATAAACGGTTGTCGCTGCATCAGCTGGAAGCTTCAGAACGTTTTTTCGATCTAGGTGATATATATACTGTGCTCTATTGGAATTGTTAGCATGTACACAAAAAAGGAGAACGGGGTGGCCCAGTCAACCAGTTGACGGGTCCATGGATTTCAAGGGCACTTACGTAAAGTCTCTGCATCCAACAGCATCAGGGTAGATATAGTTGAATGTACAAGGGAGCAGGTGAGCGGTTTTGAGCACTGCGAGAAAATTGCTAACTCTCTTCCTGCCTCTGACAGGCAACTCGACAGATTGGACGGCTTTTGGATGCGGGCCTGCGGCAGTCAGAGTTCTAACAACAAACTCACCGGGGACGGAGGGTGCTGCTATTGCGCCATTGATCTCGAGGTTTAAGATCAGACCCAGGGTTCCAGCAGGCGCTCGCGGAGATGCTTCGACTTGTCGGTGCTTGAAGACAAGTCGGAGGATGGCATGATTGGCCCCAGGGCCGAGGTGCAGGAGCTCAAGAAAACATTGACTAATGAGTTTATTCTGAAGGGGAACGGGGACATATTCAGTTGAGAGCTCCCAGGTTTGATTAGTGAGAACATTGGCGGCCATGTTTGCGGGAATGGTGGATTTTGGCGGTAATAATGTGTTATTATCGTATCTAGTGCAAAATGGGATTGATTTTCTTAGTTAGAAAGGGGCAGACGACCTGAAGTTATAGATGTGGAAATGATGCAGGCTGATATGAAAGGCCTTTGAAAGCAAGAATAAACATGAAAGGAACCCATAATTGTCTCCAGGGGACTTGGCCGATTGCTGGCTGACAACAAAGTGGCATTGTGACCTTGGGAGTCCGCATGTTTCGAGTCCACAAAGGGCTCGTTGAAGGAGCCAGTGGATCAAAGAGTACTCCATATAGCGAAAGCAATCTTTGGGAACCTTGAAAGACTCTCGAGGTCGTTTGTTCGTTTGTTCGTTTGTTCGCTTCGTCTTCGCCGACATCGGCTGTATCTCGGCTCAACTTCGGCCCGTTTTAATCTTTCACGTGATGTGTTTGACGTCATTCTGCCACCTTTAAATTCTCCCTGTGTCTCTTACCTCCCAAGCATGGATTCCTCTACCAGATTATTATTCGGCCCTGAGTGGGATCTGAAGGAATGGACGGCGTCAGATGACCGCGTTCGCGGCGGATCGTCCGTCTCCAACCTCACCCCCACCCCCGACGGAGCACTCTTTCACGGTACCCTCGACATCGAAACCCTCGGCGGTGCTGGATTCGCCTCACAGCGGACGGTCGCTGGTGATAAAAAATGGGATCTCAGTTCGCATGACGGTATTGAGCTCCGGATTGTGTCCTCGGACCACAAACGCTACACCTTCTCCTTGACGGACGAAATCGCACCACGGAGACCAGATGGTCGGGAGCAGAGTGCCTTGGTGTGGGAATATGATTTCTGTACGAACGGGAAAGAATCCACCATCCGCGTGACATGGAAGGATCTGAAACCAACCTACCGTGGCAAGCCTGTGAAGGATGCTAGACCCTTGGACGTCTCGCAAGTCAAGAGGTTCCGGATCATGGCTCGGAGGTGAGAACCGCTATTGTGGAGAGTCCCGTATCTTTACTGACAACCCACTAGTTTCTTCGGTGATCAACAAGGCAGCTTCAGCCTGGGGATTCGATCGATCGCTCTCTTCCGTGACAACTACCTTGACAACCCGAAAATGACCCAGGAGACCATGTGTTATGACAATGAGAAAGCGGAACAATCGGACGAGCAAGTTCGTGATAGCAAGAAATGGTCATTGCCTTGCTGTCTCTTCTAGTCCGGGGTTCTCTTCAAACGTTATAAATGAAACACAAAAGCCATCTGGTTTCGGGCCTCATTCCTCCGCGCCATATGAATCCCTTCCTGCGGGTTGACACGTAATCTCTGATTGGCGAGGCTCTCTGATTCTGCTTCCATAATCCCAGTGGCCAATACCCTTCGGTGACCGCTCGGGAGATCTAAACGGATGACGGGGAATGATTCCTTTCGTAGCGCTCCGCTTTAACTTCTTGCCAAGGGCGGGCATGCAAGCACCAACAATGCGGGGAATATATCGCCTGAAGACTGGCTTAGGAACATTGCCCCGTGGAGGATTAATTTGCCGGCGGCCTTGAAGACACGAGCCAATCACCGCGAGGAGATCTGCGTGATTACTTTTACCCCGTGGGGAACTGAACTCCATATGGGTTTTTTTGGCATCAGAGGACGCCCATTGGCAGACAATACATGAACCCCCGGGTATAAAAGGTCTCTGGTTTTCAGACTCAACTTGGAAACACTCACATCTTCAAGGTTCTTCAGTCCTTTTCACTGTGCAGCTTCGCTTTGTTGGTAGCCATGAGTTCTGACAAAAAGGAATACCAACCAGATGATGTCGCGAATGACATTGAAGAAATCGAGCTAGCTGAGCCTTTGAAGTCCAATTATCAGACCGACCTGAGCAGTATCGAGTCCACCGCTGCCTCAAAGACTGCCTGGCTGATCTCGATCGTTGTTTCCATCGGGGGTCTACTATTTGGTCAGTCAACCGGGTCTTTGGTATCCCCAATGGAGACAAACTTGACGCATTCCGTCTACAGGCTACGATACAGGTTACATTTCCGCGGTTCTGGTCACCATCAATGATTCACTGGGTCATGTACTCAGCTCCAGTGAACAGGAGATGGTGACGTCCTTGACAAGCGGTGGTGCGCTCGTTGGAGCAGTTGGGGCAGGTCTTACAGCTGATCGATTTGGTCGCCGATGGCCTATCTGGGGGGCCTGTTTGACCTTCGTTGTTGGCACCGCTCTCCAGACATGCGCGTTTTCTGTCGGCCAGTTTGCGACGGGGAGATTCGTCGTTGGCCTTGGAGTAGGGAGTGCCTCCATGATTGTGCCTATGTATAGTAAGTTGATCCTGCTATGTATACGCCTTCGTGCTGCTCTGACCGATCACAGTTGGTGAAATAGCGCCAGCACAGTATCGTGGCCGCATGGTGGCATTCAACAACATGAGTGTCACCTTTGGGCAGCTTCTTGCCAGTTCGGTGGGTGCTGGGCTTGCTCATGTAAAAGGTGAAGGGTGGCGTGCCACCGTCGGCATCGGTGCAGCCCCAGCGCTCGCACTTGCTGGACTCCTTTTTATCTGTCCTGAGTCACCTCGCCAGCTGGTTTCTCATGGTGATATAGACGCTGCAGTTGCCGTTCTTCGGCGTATATATCCAAAGTCCACAGCTGAACAACGTCAGTCCAAGATCAGATCCATCGAAATTTCTCTCCAAGAGGCAACGGAAGCCATGACCAAGGAGTCGCTATGGACTACCTTCAAGCGAGTTTTCACCACTCCTTCTACCGCCCGTGCGACGGCAACAGCCTGCATCATAATGGCCATTAGTCAATTGGGAGGGTTTAATACTTTGATGTACTATGCCGCCACGCTATTCTCGATCGTTGGATTCGACAACCCGACAGCTGTCGGGATCACTGTTTCCGCCACCAACTTCATCTTTTCATTTGTCAGTTTGTTCCTCGTCGATAAATTTGGCCGGCGAATCATTCTCTCCATAACTGTGCTAGGGATGGCGATATGCATGATCGTTGCAGCCATCGCATTCAACTATATTCCGGTAGATACCACGACTTTGGAACTAACAACTTCCCACGTTGGTTGGCCTGGAACCCTGGTTCTCGTTGCGGTAATATGTTACGTGGCATGCTTCTCCTCGGGCGTTGCTACTATTTCCTGGATTGGGACGGAATTGATTCCCCTAGAGGTGCGAGCGATAGGCACTATGCTGGTAAGTTCAAGTGACCCAACGATGTTTCTTCACCGAATATTAACTTTTCGCAGAATACCGTCACTTGCTGGAGCACCAATATCATCATCTCGTCCACTTTCCTCTCAATGATGAAAAGTTGGACGCCCAGTGGGGCTTTTGGGTTCTACTCAGGCATCTGCTTCTTTGGGTGGGTATTCGTCATATTCTTCTATCCTGAGTGTAAGGGAATGCCCTTGGAAGCGATCAGAGATGTATTTAGGGATGGATTTGGTGTCAAATATTCGAAGCAGTGGCAGAAGGAGCACAAAGACGATGTCAAAGTCCAGACTCTGGTTTTGGGGCATTAGCGGATACTCCTGGAATCATGAATACCAGACCTCTTTAGCTATCAAGCAAAGTGCTCAGGCCTTTGGGTTCTACGATGCCTTCATACGCACTTCCATTAATTTTCAATGGTCTTACTGTTTATTTCGTTCACTGCTCCCGAGTCGGATTCACTTCAAGCCGGCGGCGCTTGAGGTCATTGAACATTCACTGACCAAATTGGCGCCAACGCTGGGGCGCAACCCATGCATGGTCCTCATTTGCGCTCCTAAGTGGTAGTGCAAGTCACGAGGAAATTATTGATCTGCACAGTGTCACTGGGCGTAACCCATATTTTCTCTTGAGCCTGAGCCATGTTCGCTCTTCCTCTTTCGAGGTCGATTCTTGTGATCCAAATTATCTCAGATTTTGGGGATCTTCATCGGCTGTGCGCTGTTCAGTTCCGTGAATGGCCCATTGGCTCTTCTGGGTCTGGGAATTATGCTCGATCTCCACCCACCGAGACTCCGACATTCTTGATATGCGGTACAACAGTCACTTCAACCATTCCTCGTCGTTCCGGTTGTTTTCCTTGATCAGGAATCCTTGGTCAAAGACCAATACCCAAGTATGAGATCCCTGTTCATTTGAAGGAAGACATGGGAACTGCTTCATAGCGTCTGGTAATTCCAGAAAACAATGGAAATACGATCAATGCTCGAGATCTTACGATCTATGTGGTCACTGGTAGGTGTAGAAGATGTACTGGCCTCGCAACAGGCATGCGGCACAGCACACGATCAAGTAGTAGCCTCTGGATTGAGGAAAGTCGTAGACACAGTACGTGCGCTCAGATCTAGTCAGGCTTTCACACAATTGGGTGTTCAATCCTCACCCACACTATTCGTCTCATCACATGGCCCCAAGGCTCTCCTTGCTAAATTGTAAATAAGTAGTACCCTGAGTCATAGATATTGCGCAACCTTGGAATCTGGGCAATGTGAAGTTTGCCAATTTCGCCGTCATTTTTGAGTCTGTATTACTGTCACACAAATGGCACATAAATAGGAGGCCAAATCCCCAGTTATCTCGGAATCCTTTCCCTAGTCACAATCATCTCCTCAATCTACAACGAACACTTAGCTCTCAAGGTTTGCCAACATGCTCGGCTCATTCGCTCAGAATGTTTTTCTAGCTCTCGGGCTCTCTTATGTGGTGCAATCAGCTGCCGTTGAATTGGGCCAAGGTTCCAACGTGCAAGCACCACCAGTTGCGTGTGAGTCCTGTCACCAGAACCATCGGATACTTGGCATCCTGCAATAGTTTATCTAGATGATAGAAACCTCTAATACGCCATACATCTAGGTGCCGCGAGCTATATCGTTTCTGCAGGAGATATTTGCTACACCATCACGCGCAAGCACCCTGAAGTCGGCACTGTTGAAAATCTTATGCAAATGAACCCAGTCATCAACAGCGGTTGTACGAATTTATATGTTGATCAGACTCTATGCATTTTGCGTGCGACTCAATGCCCAAGAGTTAGTGTCGATAAGTCTTAACCATCTCCGACATGAAAGACTCGGTTTGAATTTAACACGCCTCGATTATGGAGCCTACTTTGATCACGAATTCCAACGGATCCGTGGTTGAATATTGTCCTGTCTCAATGCGCTGGTGAAGATGTTGAGAATGAGAAATATTGGGAATATTCCAAACAATACACAGCCACTATTGGGGCAAATCCACGCATTATTTCAAAAACTCCCGCTTCCAGTAGTCCTGCACACCAAAAACGAGTGCTCTTAGAGTACCTCAATTGGGCGAAATGCAGACATGACACTAGGTTTAGACGGTGTGGAAAATCTCGCGGGTTTCCGACGATGGGGTAGAGACTCCGGATCGAAATAAAGGATTTCAAATACTGCAATAGTTTTGGTGTTTGTTAGACTGCCCAAGCTCAACTTTTTCCAGAAAGAAAGGGCCGATTTCGACAGGGTGACCAATTGATAACCTTAGAGCCTCGCTATGAACATTTCTTGCTAATTTTGCTCATATATCTACCCCCGCATAAAGATCTCATACCCCCAGGGTTGATTCAAGCCGTAAAGCTCATGGTTTTTATGGTATCTTTGCTACACACACTGTGGGGTTAATTCGGGGGACATGGGAATTGGAGTGGGCGAGTTGCCGCCTACTTTCTCCCATTACTTCGATACGTCAAACTCTCACTTGAGAGTGCTTTCTTTTTGAGTTCGAATGTATGATATGGTGAAAGCATGTTGGAGTTCAACAAGGGTCCATCTGAATCCAAGCAAAAGGCTCAGATGGAAAATATGATTCACAACCTTCATTAGGAAGAAACCCAAGGAAACTGGAGGCCTGGCCATAGGATCGGGTTCCTTTGAGGGGAAACTGAGGGGTAGGAATACGTTGTCGGAAGTTTTCTCGGCCAATTCAGCTTTGTTTGGCGCTCCACTCCACTCTACTCCGAGTTCCAAGACTTTAAATTTCTAAGTTCCCGCCCGTTGGCCGACAATCGGTGACACCAGTCAAGCCAAGCCAAGCGCCAGGAAGGAGCGCCAAGAGAGCTTGGGTCCCGAGACTACACGAAAGCCTTTCTTCTCATTCGATGGCACCTCCGGTCGTTTTTTGACCTCAGCGGAGAACAGTTTCCATTCCAGATACCACCTTTCAATTCTTTTTGTTGATCTTGGTGCCGATAGCACTAGAGTACAGTCTCCCAGGCTAATCACTCCCACACACTATATTCGCACGCCGTTCTCAGAACCTCCCACGTAGATGTTCTCCCTCCCAGCGCCAAGGCCTAATCCCAAGGTTCAGTTTTAACATTCGAGTTCGGAAACCATCCGAGGGCAGGAGCAAGGGCATTTAGAATTAGAGTGTGGGGCGTATATAGGTGTGATATAAGCGTGGCCCAAGCAAAAGCCTCGTGTTGGCGGGGGTCGAAACGTGGAGAGCGCCATCTGTCAAGGAGAGTCCCCTGATTGGCCCATACACTGGCACTAGCCCGGATGCAGTCTAGCGCACGCTTTGACCCACGGCCGATCGCCCAAACTGTATCTCCCCGTGTTTGTGGAGGCGAAAGGCTGCCGCGGAGAAGAGGTCGCGGGGATAATGCCAAGCCCTTTCGATCCCGCGTGAGCCATATGCGAGACAGTACGGAGTACAGAGTACAGACCGAATCTTTCAGGTACTAGGACCAGCTCGTGGTAATGCACGTATGTGCCGGCGTGATGGGTGCAGTGGGTGTCGGGATCCCTGTCGAGGGATATTCTTTGACAATTGAAATCAGACCCAGCTGAGAGGTGATGATTGGTCCTGGGTCAATATATCAGTCAGAAACCCGGGGAGAAAGAGCGAATTTCCCACAAACCCCTCCAGCTCTGAGCCCTAGTCATTTTCCGAGTATCGGGAAATTAAGGAAGAGCGTCATCTGGATCATGGCTCAAGCTAAGTTCTACGCCGAGCCTTGGAAGAAGACACCCAAACCCCGAATGAGCCTTGCTGTAATTACCTACGTCCGAGATCTGCGTGGGCTACCCCGTGGGGACTTGAGCCTCCTTGGCACGAGGAAAAACTATTTAAGAGAACATTCATATCCTCTTTCCATGCTAGGTGCTATTCTTTTGGGTACAGACTACCTGCCTGTACACTAATATCTTCCACCCTCTACCACTCTGACCAGTTGCGTGGCTCAGCCTCCATCTTTGGAAGATTGTGATCACACCTGACCTCAACCACTATGGCGGGGGGCTCAGCTATCAATGTCTTCAAATTCAACACTGGAGGTCTGCCCAAGGAGACACTCAACGCAAAGTTATGGTTTGCCGTGTTTGCGTTCGGTCTGATGGGGGCCGCCCGTGGTGTTGACGAGGGTCTCATCACGGGTGTCTTCAACTCTCATGCCTTCAAACAATCTATCGGTATTGATGATCTTGATTCGAGTGAGCTTGCGAGCATCAAGGGTACCATTTCCTCCATGGTTCAGCTTGGTAGTGTTGCTGGGGCTTTATTGTGAGCATCCTTTCGATCTTTCTTTTACTTCAGTGATCATCAGCTCATACTCAGTGAACCATAGTGCATTCGTCGTTTGTGACCGTATCGGTCGTGTCTGGGCTACTCGCCAGCTCTGTGTTTTTTGGATCGTCGGTATCGCCATCTTCATCGGAAACAATGGTAATTTAGGTGCCGTCTATGCTGGTCGGTTCGTTGCTGGTATTGGAATTGGACAGACTTGCGTCGTGGGTCCAATTTATCTGTCTGAGATTTCACCTGCACCTATCCGAGGTCTGTGTACTTGTATGTTTACGGGTGCTGTATACCTGTGAGTCTTTCCTTTTTCTATTCCCTATCCTTACATCCCGTCGGTCTGATGCTAATCCAATATAGTGGAATTATGATTGCCTACTTTGCCAACTGGGGCGCCCAAATCCATATGGCTGATACTTTCAACCGCTGGGTAAGTCTCAGTTACCCTCTTTTTTACAGTCAGCTTACTCACGCACGCTTTCCTGCAGGCTGTGCCTACCTCGCTTCACCTTATGTTCGCCGGTATCATCTTGATTCTCACCCTTTTCCAACTTGAGTCGCCTCGCTTTTACATTAAGCAGGGCAAACGAGAAAAGGCCCTTGAATCTCTTTGCAAGCTTCGTGGCCTACCGGCAACACACCCTTATGTCCTCGACGAGATCACCGAGATGGACGTTGCCTTTCAAGAAGAGATGGAGGCAACTTCTGGCATGGGGTGGAAAGGCCTGTTCAAGGAGATCCTCGGTATCAAGCGCAACTCTTATCGACTATTCCTCACCAATCTCGCTCAGAACATGGCCTGCTGGTCCGGTGGCTCTGCAATTACGGTGTACGCCCCGGATTTGTTCACGCTGGTCGGCATTACCGGTCAAGAGCAGTCTCTGTTCTCGACCGTTGTCTTCGGTGTTGTGAAGTTTGTCGCGGCGATCATCTGCGCTCTCTTTTTGGTTGATATGGCCGGCCGAAAGCGATCTCTGATCATCGGCATTGTTCTACAGACTATCGCCATGTTTTACATTGCCATCTTCCTCAACCTTGTTCCCATTGCGAATAACCCTGATTTCACCCCCAACGAGACTCAGAATCGCGCATCCACCGCTGCCATTGCCTTCATCTACATCTCCGGTGTCGGGTGGGCCCTCGGGTGGAACAGTGGTCAATACCTGTTGTCGTCTGAGCTATTCCCCCTCCGCATTCGGGGTATTTGCTCCTCTATCACCATGGCTATGCATTTCATCTGTCAGTATGCTGTGAATCGCGCCCTACCAGAGATGCTGCTTGAACATGGGGGTCTCGGTCCCGATGGAACATTCTACTTCTTTGGTGTCATTTCCATTCTTGGTGGAATTTGGGTCTGGCTCTTTGTTCCCGAGGCGGCTGGCCGCAGTCTGGAAACCATTGATAAGATGTTCGATTTGCCCTGGTACAAGATTGGTCTGTTCGGTCGCAAGTTTGCAGAAGAATATGATCGGGAGCAGGAGCGTATCTATCAGGATGAGAAGAAGGATGGGGGTGTTGTTGTGTCTCATAACGAGACTGCATGATCTTTGCAAGTTGCCACGAACAGATGCGTCCATGGCTTTGGCGTGATGCACGACTTGATCGACTGGCCAACACGGCCTACGAGTATCATTCCCTCGTCGATAGAACTTCTCGGAATAATCAAAACTTCAATGAGCTATTTGTCCTAGAGCGAAGATCCCTGGGCTTGAGATAGTACATCTCTCAGCAACTTCAGAGATTCACCTGCAAACGCAACCATGTTCTCGGCTCGGTCATTGCTGCCTGTCTCAACTTCCCGGGTAACTTGTCCCTGTGCACTTGATACAGCTACTGCAACGTAGCCGCTGTAAAGACTCAACATAAAGCTTCCGGTCGTAGGGGAGCCGACTTACGGAGTTCGATTTCTTGTCGTTCCGCCCGTCGGGCCAGCTGTCCCGCTCTCGCTGATCGCATAGGTCGACCCCAATGTGCGTCTGGTATGATCAGCCATGTTGGCAACAATCTCGGTTGTAGGTCCCTTGTATTTCTCCAGGTCTGCCGTTGTCCAACCAGCAAATTTGAGGCGTGAGTCTAGAGTGTAAACGGTGAGTCCACCATTGTATATAGCCGAAGCGCCCGGGAAAGAAAGAAGAGAGGAGGATATAAGACCTCCTGCAGCCTATTGAATATCAATCAGAATGATTTCGATCTTCCTCGATGGAGCATAAGAGTTGCGTTGTGGTTCGTACCGTCTCTGCAACAGAAATGGTCTCGTTTCGCGCCTTAAGGAGTTGGGAGATCTCCTCGATCAGTGGCTGGAGACTTTTGGGAGGAAACTCTGCCATTGTATCGAGATTGACGGAATACCTGTACTTCACGATGAGGATGGCCCTGGGGTACGGAGTAAATAGTGGGGGATGGCGCGGAGACCCAGGCTGTTTGCACTGTTTGCACCCTGCTCACTTCGCGACTCCCGCCTCGACAGCTTCCATGCACGATGAACACTCTCATGGCCAGTGCCCGCTCCCTCTCCTCACACCCGCGAACCCTCCTACTCACCTTCGACGCGTTTGGGACCCTTTTCTATCCTCGTCCACCTGTGCCACAGCAATACGCGGCCGTCGCCCACGAATTCGGCCTATCCCGCTCCACTGTCACCACTCAAGCAATCCAACGAGCCTTTGGGGATGTGTATCGTACACACGCAAAGCGCTGGCCTAACTATGGCCGCGCCGATGTGCTTCGGGGACGGTACGGCGGGCCGCGACAGTGGTGGGAGGAAGTGATACGGGAGTGTTTCATGCGTGTGTTGGCATGTCAAGATAGTCACTTGGCCGCGCAAGAGCACCATCAACCGCCCTTTGAGCTTCCTCCGGGGATGGTTCAGGCACTGCTTGATCGTTTTGCCTGTGAGGAAGGGTATGCACTCTTCGACGATGTCATTCCCTTCTTCAATCGCATGCGCGAGCTACGAAGCTCATCTCGGCACTTTGATCGGGTTGTGCTAGGCGTGGTCTCTAATTCCGATGATCGAGTCCCTGCGGTACTCACAGCTTTGGGGCTTCAAGTTGGAGATCTACGTGCCGACCAAGATCTGTCGAGTATGGAGTTACCTGGCTTCGAGCAACGAAACGGATCCAATGAGACACGCTCGGGTGACCATTCACATAACGATTTAGACTTTGTGATCACCAGCTACGAGGCGGGTGAGGGAAAGCCGAACCGACTTATTTTCGATATTGCCCAACGACAAGCTCGTCTAGTGCCAAGCATGCATGACCAAGCGCAGGGTTCATTCACTCCCGATGAGACAAAGGGATGGGTCTGTGTCCATGTTGGTGATGAATATGAGAAGGACTACTGCGCTGCGATAAATGCTGGGTGGAGGAGCTATTTGATCCCCCGCGCGACCGGGGAGTTTCCTATAAAACCAATTGCCTCGTTATTCGATTTGATCGACGAGCTGAAGATATAATTAACGAGTCAGTGGGTGATTTTTGCTCAGATGTGTTGTTTCGCATTTGCATTCTGGGCAATCCCGGATCATTCCCAGGTCTCATATCTTTCTCTGGCGAGTCGTTCGGCCGACTCCAGGGCTTGACGTGCTTGCGATAGACACGTTCGGCCTTGTAAACGCGATATGAGGGCCACGGACTAGCCAATCACCCCTCATGCTGCGGCCACAGATGGCTTGGGGACGCTGTCAAAATTACATGAACCTACGAGGTCCACGGGTATCAATCTTTGCGTGCGTCCCGATTATTATCTTAGAGATTTGGGGGCCAGGGATATCAATCAGGAGAAGGTGGAGGAATACCATAATTAGCATCTAGACTCTGACTGCTGCTGGGCGCGATACTAACCGTTCCCCTCAGCCCTGGAAAGGACATACCAATGACCAATACTACACAAGAGACAGAATGAAATATCTGATCTACTCTATATATCTGATCAGCAGATACACATCGATCAGCACAAATCAGACCAAAAGCTTGATTGAGCTTGGCGGTCCCCACCACTTCGCCGCGCGATGCCGAACCTATAGGCTTCAAGCTCCACAATGGAGATGTTGACGACGCTAGCGCCGAGGATTACGCATGCCCACGCTATAATTAAATTCCCAAATTGGCCTGCCTGGAGTGTGTCTGCGACTGAATCTTCACTTTCACTCGGCATCACAATCTGGATTTGACTGCGTCAACCGGGATCTTCTAGGTGTCAGGACCGACATCGTCCATCTTTCAAATATGCACTTACTTGGGCCCACTAGAGGCATCGCCACTTGGCTCTTGTTCTGCGGTCTAGTATGCTCCATCGATCTGGACGTCAGCGATGAACGTACGTGGTGAAGTCTTCATACACCCTACCCCGCCAGTTCACACAAAGCTGATATCTTGGGTCATGCACAGAATCGCTCAAAGATGCCGCGAGTACCTCGACTTTTGCCATGATGAAGTATTACTACGGAAACGAAACTGGACAGATTCCTGGAGCCTTCCCGGATAAATGGTGGGAAGGGTCAGCTCTGTTTCTGGCACTCTTAGAATATTGGCACTTTACCGGGGACACAACATACAACGAGGAATTGAGCATTGGACTGCAGTGGCAGTCGGGCGATGACGGTGATTACATGCCAAGTAACTATAGTTCCTATCTTGTGAGGATCACCATCGCGTCGATTTGGGGGAAAGCTGACCAAGATAGGGAAATGATGATCAGATGTTTTGGGGTCTTGCGGCCATGACAGCAGCGGAATACGGCTTTCCAGATCGCTCTTCTGGGTTCTCGTGGTTATCGCTAGCACAAGGTGTATTCAACACGCAGATCAAGCGATGGGACACATCTTCATGTGGCGGGGGCTTACGGTGGCAAATCTGGCCATATCAGAACGGGTATGGAATGAAAAACTCCATCTCCAATGGCGGTCTGTTTCAGTTATCTGCACGGCTAGCCCGCTACACCGGCAGCTCGATTTATCTCGAATGGGCTAATAAAATCTGGGACTGGTCTGTCTCATCGCCGCTGCTGAGCAACACAACTTGGAACGTCGCCGACTCGACGAATGTGGATAACGAATGTGCCACGCAAGGAAATGCTCAATGGACATACAACTATGGGACATACTTAATGGGCGCGGCCTACATGTACAATTATGTGAGCAAGCGCGCCCTAGTTCCACTTCCATTGTTGAGGAACGCACTGAAGCTAACTGTATATCGCTTGCAGACCAACGGTACTACACAATCCCAATGGCTTACCGCCGTCAATGGTCTTCTAAACGCAACATTCAACAACTTTTTCCTGACTGGGGGAATCATCGAGGACTATTATTGCGAGCCAGCGGCGAACTGCAATGATAATGAAATCCTCTTCAAGGGTCTAACTTCTTCATGGCTGGCGTTGACTGCCGTTCTAGTCCCCACCAGCTATGACAGCATCATCGCAAAGCTGCAAACATCAGGCCAAGCCGCTGCAGCATCCTGCACCGGTCATGACAATGGCACTTGTGGCGTACGCTGGTATAAATCTACCTACGACGGGTGGATGGGAATGGAGGAGGAGATCAGTGCCACGAACATCTTCACTGCGAACCTGGTCACATTCAATAAAACCGGTCCTGTGACTTCGACGACGGGAGGAAACAGTACCAGCAACCCGACCGCGGGCGAGGATGACACTGATTCCGACAGCTCAAAAACAACTACAATCACAACGGGAGACAAGGCAGGGGCTGGAATCCTGACCGCCGGTTTTGTAGCAGGCTGGATCGCATTGATGGCTTTCATGGTACTTGGCGGATGAATGCGCTGGCGCTAGATCTTTTTCTTTTTTCCTTTCTGAGGACCCTTGCCTCTTGATATCGAGCAACTGTACATATGATTGACTATAGACGTGGCATATATAATTTTGGGGATTTCTACATTGACCTGTAAGTGAGCGTTGGGGCGTCTCTGCGGGTGCCCAGGTGGTGGATTTCAACCACTAGGTGTAGTACAAGGCATCCAATACGGGACTGTGGAATCGCTAACTGCGGGATTTTTTGATGAACTTGACTCAACTTTCAATAATTGACCAGCGATTGTAACCTTGAAGAGTGTTACTCGCCGGCACGGGGACACAGCTCGCCGTCGTCACACAAATTATTTCAGCGCCTGGGATTTCATGAGACCACATGTGAATTGCTCTGAGTATAGAAGCAAATGACTTCAGGAAAACCGATAAACCGCAGTAGATCAGTTTGGTGGCATATTGATAGGAATCACTCACTTCAGGCAATCCAAAACCAGATTCGCTCTGTGTGTTCGTTAGCTTAGGTCTTCCCTGCAAACCCGGGGGCAACATACCAAGAAAGTTGCGAGGCTGGGGCTCTTCCCATGTAGACTCTAGCTGGTCAGCTTCTTCTTTCCCAGATACCATGTCCATGTCCTCTATCTTGACAATTTTAGTCTTGTTTTTGAGTTTGTATCCCAGGAACAAGCATGCGAAGATAGGGATGTCGATGTAAGGTGGTATGAAGGTTTTCGCGGCAAAGTGACCTGGGAAGAAAGCATCAAATCCATTGAATAATGCAACGGTTGAGGAGAAGACAATTGCAAAATAAGCCAAGTAAGGCTGGAAAGGAGACTGGAATGGAAGCGCGGATCGTGGGATGCCATGGTATTTCAGGCCCTTGTAGAAGCGAACGTAGGTGATGGCAATAGAAGTCCACACTACCAGTGTACTAACAGCGCTCAGATTGCTGATCCAGAAAAATACCTCGACTGAGCTCGAGGATACATTCAGATAGACCAGGAGACTTAGGGCAGCTGTGACAGCCACACAAGCGTAAGGGACTCCGAACTTCTCGAATCGGAGCAATCGAGGGGCCTTCCCATCCAATGCCGTTGAGTATAGGATTCGAGTTGATGCATAGAAGAAGGAGTTGCCGGCCGACAATGCCGATGTAAGAACGACTGCATTGATGATGGAAGGCAACACGAGAATACCCCCATTCTCTATTGCGATGACAAACGGGCTTGCTCCTACGCCTGCAGCGCCTGCGTCAATTGCGTTCAGAAGCCTGCGATCTTTAGATGAGACGCAAAGCCCAACTAGAAACACGCTGCCAACATAGAAAATAGCGATTCGCCAGAAGACACGGCGTACAGCCTTGGGGATGTTGCGTCGAGGGTTCTCAGTCTCCCCTGCCGTGGTCACAACCATCTCGCTTCCTCCATAACTGAAAGTTGCTTGGATGAACACCTTCCAAAAGGCCAAGAAGCGTCCCAGAGATCCGTCTTCGAGGTACTGGTTCATGGGACCGGGATGCTGCCAGTAGCGAAATCCTATGCGGTCATGTGTTGGAGCTCCTCCAGAGGTGATGATAAACATGAGTATCATCAATCCGATAATCGTGATCAGCTTGATCGAACCGAGGATAAACTCCAGTTCACCGTACACGCGCACGGGAAGACTGTTGGTGAGAAAGATGGCCAGGTACAGCACCGTAATCCAGACCGCAGGGGAGATATTGTTGGGCCAGTATTCAATGACAAGAGCGGCTGCACTGATCTCAATCGGAACTCCAATGGCAAATTGATACCAATAATTCCAGCCCAGAGTAAACCCAAGAGCCTCGTCGACAAATCGAGAGGCATACACCGGAACAGCACCAGGTAGAGGAAGCCAGGTAGCCATTTCGCCCATGCTATTGATCACGGCGTAGAGATTGAACCCGGTGATCAGGTAGGCGAGTACTGTGGACAATGGCCCGGCCAAGGACAGAACCTGGCCTGTGCCCACAAACAACCCCGTGCCAATCGCACCAGATAGAGCGAGAAACTGGATATGTCGCGACTTGAGCCGTCTCTGCAGAGTGCCAGTTTCCACTCGTGTGTCGGCGACTTTGTCAAGTTGGGGATTCTCCTCGCGTGGAGGATGTGAGGGTTTGGAACTGCCCGCCTCAACGTCCGCTGAGAGATCTGGACTTTCCGCCATTGTAAGCAAGCAATAAGTCTGTGCAGTGTTTGGGACAGTCACGGTATGTATCTTTGCAGTACCGAGAAGCGACTTGGTCGTCGGTCGATGATGTCGAAAGATGGTAGAGAGACCAAGTGGATTGAAGAGAGAGCCCGCGGGGTGAGAGAAAGCAAAGTAAGTGGAATTCCAGAGGTCGGTCACTGACCAAAGCGACTTCAATTCGCTATACACTTCATTCAAGCTAGTCGCACAGACCCGTAGGGCTAAATCATGTGAAGCGTGGGGTTGAAATGCGGAGTGGCCTGCAGCTCGTTATTCGCTTTGCCGATATCTAGTGAATGTGTCGGGTTCCTGTCTGTATTTGGTAATTATCCTGTCGGTGAATATCATCTGCCGCGGCCGATCTGTCCAATGCTTCCCTTGTTGGCTATTGATCGGCGGGGTCTTCGTATCAGAGTGTCCGAGGCCGAATCTGCAAGGGTCCGAGCCTTGAAAATTCGCCAGAGTTGCATTGCCTGGTAGTATTGGAGAGACAGATCGAAACAAGTGTTGACTTGCTAGGGAACATCCTGTGCGTTAACAGTTTCTGTATACTCTTCGGTCACTCAATAAGCCCAGCACAGTCCACGGGTAAACTGGTGGTGTGGTAGCATGGCGGTCCTTCAAAATGAGCCAGCGAGAATGGGCCACGAGATGCGCTCTAAATTCTCCTTTGCTCCAGGTTATCGAAACTTGAATCACGGTATGCGAGCCCAGTCATCGGTCGTTGTATCTGCTCACTTGCTCAGGTTCATTTGGGGCTTCTCCCACCGCTATCCGTGACAGAGCGAACAAGCTTCGTGATGAATGTGAAACCAATCCGTGTCCTTTCATCAAGTACCAATTTCCACGGTTACTCAATGATTCCCGAAATGCCATGGGCGAGTTTCTTGGTGTGCCCAAATCCACGATCGTCTTTGTTCCAAACGCGACCACCGCAGTGAACACAGTTCTTCGGAACCTGGTATGGAACATCGATGGAAAAGACGAAATTGTTCATTTTGATGTGATCTACGGCACGTGTGGAAAGACCATCAGTTACGTTTGCGAGGCCAACAGAGACATCGTTCGCGCTAGAGAAATCAGGCTCAAGTACCCAGCCGACAGCTCTCTGATCGTAAGCGCATTGCGCACAGCGATTGAGTCCTCTCGCAGTGAGGGATTCCGCCCGCGTATTGCAATATTTGACACCATTTCATCCAATCCTGCTCTTCGATTTCCCTTTGAGGAGCTGACTGCTGTCTGTCATGCAGAGGGTGTTCTCAGTCTGATAGATGCTGCTCATGGGATTGGGCAAATTCCACTTCATCTTGCATCGCTAGACCCAGACTTCTTGGTCAGTAATTGCCATAAGTGGTTCTATACTCCTCGTGGGTGTGCGGTGTTTTATGTCCCCGAGCGCAATCAAGCCATGATGCGCAGCACATTGCCAACCAGCCACGGTTTCATTCCGCGGTCGTCGGGTCGAGTGTCTCCGATGAATACGACAGATGCATTGGATGCCAAGACCGAGTTTGGTTCCAACTTCGAGTTCGTGGGAACCATTGATAACTTCGCCTTTCTGACAATCGCGGATGTGATCAGGTGGAGAAAGGATGTATGCGGTGGTGAGCAAGCAATCCAGGAATACTGTGGCCACCTTTGTCGTCAAGGAGGCAGGCGTGTTGCGGAAATCCTGGGCACAACAACCTTAGGAAAGCTTGACAAGGCCGGACCATGTTGCATGGTGAATATCCTCCTTCCCCTGGACCGGGCTACCGAAGGCTGTGGGAGTCTCGTCAAAGGCAACGACGGCTCAAGTATGACTGTCGGTGAGTGGATGCAACAGACCATGATCAGTCAGTACCAAACATTCATGCCTGTATTTCCTCACCAAGGGGCCTGGTGGGTTCGGTTGAGTGCACAAATCTATCTTGAAGAAAGTGACTTTGAGTGGGCCGGTTGGACGCTGAAAAAGCTCTGTGAAGAAATATGTATGCATATGGTAAGTGAAAGTGAGAGGGGAAGTGAAGTGAAGAACGATGAGTGGTATCAAGTGCCCAGGTGACACTGTGGGAATCATGTATAGAATTTCGAATCAAACTTCTCAATGCCTAGTATCACAGCCCTGGGGGAAGGGGACCTTTTTCTTCAACCCGATGAATCCAAGAATCCTCCGGTACTCGGGTCTTCCACGGAGTATACTTGGGCCGAGTCCAACGGAGGCATGTCGAATCAGGCCATCGGCTTCATTACTAAATCCTCCGCTCCGATCAAGTCAACGGCGAGGTGCGTCTCGAGAAAAAAAGGAATCCGAAACACATTTACGTTTGATAGCGGCTATCTGCGGTTGTCCTCGGTGACTCCGTCCGCCAGCCACAGTTCCGAGAGTAGCCGAGGCTGTCAAGGGCTGCACGAAGATCACCGAGGACTGTGATTCGGCAGTTTGAACTACTGTGCCTGGACAGTGGAGTTGAGACCCATCGCAAGCCACAGCGGAAAAGTATGGATCTGCTCAGAGCAGTCTCTTACCCTGACTGTGGTCAGTTTGATAGAACCAGGCCCATTCAATGCCCATTCAGGAAGAAGATAGTGGGTTCGGGCAGAAGTTCTCTCTGACTATGATGAAAATTTGATAGCCGATGGGGCCACCAATATAGCGCTACTGGGACATATACTGGGTGGTCCCCAGAACAATACAAAATACCATTCCAGACTCCCTTTTTGGTCAACAGACTTGTCATGAGAAGGCATTGAAACCATGGACCAGGACAAGGGACATAATGAATATGAGCCAAGCATTGACTTCCACAATGACTCTCGCAGTGACGAGTCGGGTGATACCATCGATCACGTCGACACTCTCGAATTGACTCGGATCAACACATATCGACTGCAGCAAAAGACAACCGTCGGCTCTTCCAGAGGGCCGATGCCGCGTGAAAGATGGCTTCCTATGGGAGCTAATAAAGAATATCCTCCCCTCCTTCCCGATTCCGAAGGTTATGTGGTTGAGTTTGATGGAGCAAAGGATCCATTACATCCATACAACTGGTCAATGGCGAAACGGTATGCTCCCCGGAAAGAATCCTCTGTCTTCGTACACGTACACTCGCTAAAGACTGGAAGAATAATGGCAGTTTGCATCCTCTGCTATGGAACATTCGCCGGTTCCTTTGCGAGTGCCGTCTTTTCGGCCGGTATCTCTGGCGTCAGCAAAGAATTCCAGGTCAACACTGAGGTCGCCTCCCTTGGGGTAACACTCTACGTCCTTGGATTTGCCGCCGGTCCGACAATTTGGGCGCCTGCCTCTGAGCTCATCGGTCGGCGTGGACCCCTCTCCGCCGGTCTGTTGGGGTGTGCCATCTTCACCATCGCATGCGCAGTGGCCAAAGACATACAAACCATCATGATCTGTCGATTCTTTGCAGGGTTATTCGCAGCTAGTCCCATCTCTATCGTCCCTGCTGTGTTCGCAGACATCTTCAACAATACCCAGCGCGGGGTTGTCATGTCGATCTTCTGCATGGCTGTCTTCATCGGGCCCTTTGCCGCCCCATTCGTGGGTGGATTCATTGCTATGAGCTCCCTTGGATGGCGCTGGACAATGTACATCTCGGCCATCATGGTCTTTGCAGGGTTCGCCCTAGTTGTGACTTGCCTTGATGAAAGCTACGCCCCTGTTATTCTTGTCCGCAAGGCCGCTACTCTTCGACGCCAGACGCGCAACTGGGGAATCCATGCAAAGCAAGACGAGGTTGAGATCGACTTCAATGAGCTTGTCCGGAACAACTTTGCTCGACCCATCGTGATGCTATTCACTGAGCCGATCCTCCTTCTCATTTCTCTCTACATCTCTTTTATCTATGGACTTATCTACGCTTTGCTGGGCGCATACCCCGTCATTTTCCAAGGGGTCTATGGAATGAACATGGGAGTTGGAGGCCTCGCCTTCATCGGTTTGATCATTGGTGAACTCCTTGGTGGTGTTTACATCCTCTCGATTCAAGGTTCCTATGCCAGGAAATTGGCCGCAAATGGTGACACCCCTGTGCCAGAATGGCGGCTATTCCCAGCCATTGTGGGAGCTGTCTCATTCTCAATTGGAATGCTCTGGTTGGTCCTCTCTTGCTGCCCGCGTCAAAGGATCTGTCGATTGCTAACCTGGGTTTGATAGGTTGGGCTGGACCGGGTACACTTCGACCATTCACTGGATGGCTCCAGTAGCTTCTGGTATTTTGACTGGAGCTGGAATCTTCTTGATCTTCTTGCAGTGTTTCAACTACATTGTTGACTGTTATCCTTCCCTGTATGTCTCCTCTGGCCTTGACACGAGCATCCCCCACTAACGACCAGTATAGTGCGGCGTCTACTATTGCAGCGAACACCATTCTACGCTCAGCGATTGGCTGTGCGTTTCCCCTTTTCTCGAGGCAAATGATGGAGAACCTCGGGGTCCAGTGGGCAGGCACCATGTTGGGATGTATTGCTGCCGCGATGATCCCCATTCCGGTACTTTTCAAGGTATACGGTCCATGGCTGCGAAGTAAAAGTCAATTGGCTTGCTCGCCCATTTATGATTCGGAGAAGAAAGTTTATGATGTTTGATGGATTTGCATATATTATGATACCCTTTATGTTTGCCTAGCGTTGATTGCATCTTGAGATGTGCTTGTGCTCAAGCATCCTAATTGCGTTGGATTTTAAACTTCGAATAATTTTTGACATTCACCTATGTGGAGCAAGGAATCAAGTCCCCTCTTTATTTGCATCCTGTGTCGCCTATGAGATCTTATTTGGCAAAATAATCCCAAGGTCACTGGGATGGGTGATGTATTCAGGCAGTAAGGCAGTAAGGCAGTAAGGCATCACTGACGTACAATCTCGCAGGGCTGAAGTCTCATTTCCTCTCTCGGTCTTATTCGAGTGTCGTGCTTCCGGAGGCAATGACTATCTGCGGTTCAGGGGATACTGCCAGATACCTTGAATACCAAGATGACACAAGTAGCAGGCTGATCAAGGTGAGAAAGCCCCTTGCTACGCTCCTCTGGGCACAATTGCTCGACTTTGGCTGCTCTGCAATATTATCCAATACTCTCACCCCAATCACGATCAACGAGAGTTCCTTTTGAATAGGCCTTTCCCGGAATCGCAATTTTCCTTCAAGTACGGAGTGCGGAGTATGAAGCAGGGACATACAACACGCCTGTCCAAAAGGGATACAGGTTGCATCCCCGGAATGCGTCGATCGTTGCATTGAGTTCGTTTGCGTCCATGAACCACTCTGGTTCTGGCCCTGGTCCACTCTTCTCACTGATTAACCACGCGTTCTTTTGATTTGCCTACTCTCCTTGATTGGCTAATGTGGTCCTTTTGACAGCTGCCCTGGAATGTCACGCCGGTCCGTCGATGTGGAACAGGTACAGCCAACCCTTGGGAATGACAGGCCAAGCGTTGCACTTTCACACAATGATGGCTTGCTCTGGTCAATTTCCATGGAACCTCAAATCCGGACTTGATGCAGTCAACTCTCAGGGACGTCTTCAAAATCCCTATGCAGGAGCGGCGCCACCTTGGTGAACCACGCCTTGTTACCATACCAATGCTCCGTGGCCGAGTGGAATGTGATTTTCTGTTCCACCCTTTACTCCCTCTGTAGTGCTTTTTCGCACATTCTGACATCGCCTAGCCAGTTCCTGCTTGTGTTCTCACCAAAGCAGCTCTGGAAGCGCCGGATTCGACCACCTCACCCTCCATATTGGAAGTAATCACAAAGACTGAGCCCAGTCTATCCCAGATAACCTGCTGGCATCCGGGCTCTGTTTCCTCCTTTGACTGTGGTCCCTGTCTCACTGAAAGCTATTCTTCTGCGCCATCTTCGCTACAATGCGTCCATTCGCCCCTGCGACACGTCAGTCATGGATGGGATTACTTGCTTCAGCTCTTCTGGGCACTTCAGTCGTAGGAGCACTGGAGATGGATATTGAAGACGGAGGTTCGTTGTGTTGATCTGGCTACTTCTGGGGTGTTTGCTAATCCGAATCGAAGATTCCATCAGAAAAGTGGCCAAGCAGGTCGCGACCAACATGATGAGCTACTATACAGGCATGAACCCTGGCGACAATCCTGGAAACCTCCCAGATCCCTATTACTGGTGGGAAGCGGGTGCGATGTTCAACTCTCTCATCGATTACTGGTTTTACACAGGTGACGATACCTGGAACGACATCACAATCCAAGGACTGCTTTGGCAAGCTGGAGATAACAAGGCATTTATGCCGAACAATCAAAGCAAGACCGAGGGTAATGATGATCAAGCCTTCTGGGCATTTGCTGCCATGTCTGCCGCGGAGCGAAACTTCCCAAACCCGCCCGATGATCAGCCACAGTGGCTTGAGATGGCTCAGGCTGTCTTCAACACCCAGGCACCCCGATGGGACAACTCCTCATGTGGGGGTGGCTTACGCTGGCAAATCTTCACATGGAACAACGGCTACAACTACAAGAACACCATCTCCACTGGTGGCTTTTTCAATTTGGCTTCCCGTCTGGCGAAATACACAGGGAATAAAACATACGCAGAATGGGCAGAAAGGGCCTGGGACTGGACCGCCGACGTCGGTTTTATGACGCACGACTATAAATTCATGGATGGAGCCAGCGACCTGACCGAATGCAAGCCCATCAACAAAATCGAATGGACTTATAACGCCGGGGTTTATCTGCTGGGCGCTGCTAACATGTACAATCTGGTAAGTGAACGCGCATTGCTTGAACCCTCCCATAGCTAATAGTTTTCACAGACGGAGGATTCAAAATGGAAAGAGCGTACCCAGAAGATCGTCGATTCCACAGGTAAATTCTTCTCTCATGACCCGCCCAACGTGATGTATGAGCGAGCTTGTGAAACAGTCAACACCTGTATGGTTGATCAACGATCTTTCAAAGGATACCTGGCGCGATGGATGGCACAAACCACTCAGATGGCTCCTTTCACGTATGATCAAATCATGAAACGACTGAAAGCTTCTGGGATGGCAGCCGCCAAGACTTGCACGGGGGGTGTGAATAACAACGTCTGTGGTCTCCGATGGGTCGACGAAAAGTGGGACAAAACAAAGGATTTCGGTCAACAAATGGCCGCCCTCGAAGTGATTCAGGCCAATCTCATCTCCCGCGTGGCGGCCCCGGTCACCAAGGATGACGGTGGTACCAGTAAGGGCAATCCGAACGCAGGCACCAAGCCCCCCAAGACAGTCCCACCCGGCCTTGACTATGCCATCACCACCGGCGACAAAGCCGGTGCAGGGATATTGACAGTCCTGACTTTGATTGGGATTGGCGGTTCCTGTGGGTGGTTGATTTGGGATTGAGCTCAGACTTTCTTTTTGCCTTGTTCCTGTTCTGTTCTTCTCCGTCTGCATTTTACGGATCTGAAGGTCTCACCTGATTTTGATCTCCAGGAATATTTTGTTCTGTGAATAATTTTGTTTCTAATCTAACATATGTTTGGGTTCTGATTGATGCCAATCCTGCTCGCGGGGTAAACACGGATATACGGCTTAAGCTGTCCCCGCATAGTCCACTATTCTGATTGCTGCCATCTCGACATGCTGCATTTGTACGTCTCTTGCAGCACATACATTATCGAGAAAGAGGGGTTGTCCCTACGGCATAATTCCGTCATGTTTCATGTTTCTCGGCATTGCTCCTATTTAACCCCGAGAGGCCTTCGATGTATTATCTGCTCGACCTTGTTTTATCATTCCAACTCAGAGCCATAGTGTCAGCCACCCAGTTCTCGTCTCAGCCATGAGTGACCCATTTGAAATCCCTACCCATTGTAAGGCGGGAGTAGTGGTCAATGAAGGCCCTAACTTCCATCTTGAGGTACAGATGGTCCCCGTTCCCGAACCAGGTGAGATATCAACTGCCTACTCCGTGAATGCAGACAACTTCTACTTAGTTTGCGTCGGTACTTGTGTTGATACTTACTCATGCAGGTCCTGATGATATCCTCATCCGATTAAACTACACCGGGATATGCTCTTCTGATATCCATATGATGCAAGGGGATCTGGGCCTCCCACCTATGTCTTCATTTGGTGTGCGATCTCCCGGTCATGAGGGGGTGGGAGTTGTAGTGAAACTGGGTTCCAACGTGAAGAACTTCCAATTAGGTGACAGGGCCGGCCTCAAACCTATCATGGACACGTGCGGATCCTGCGTTCATTGCTGGGGTGACAAGGAGACATACTGCAAGGGGGCCATTCACTGTGGTCTGATGGTGGCCGGTAGGTGCATCCTGGCGAGTTTGGGCCAAGATCAAGGGCTGACTATGGTATCAGGTACCTACCAGCAATATTTAGTCTCCCCGGCCAGATACGCATCACCAATCCCAGATGGGATCTCTGATGAAGTTGCCGCTCCGATCATGTGCAGTGCTAGCACCATCTACCGATCTTTGGTTGAATCGGCTATTCAATCGGGGGCTTGGGTTGTTTTCCCTGGAGGAGGCGGTGGCGTTGGCATCCAGGGTGTTCAATTGGCCAAGGCGATGGGGATGCGTCCAATCGTGGTGGATACAGGAGAGAACAAGCGCACATTATCATTGCAGATGGGAGCTGAGGCATTTGTTGATTTCAAGGAGACCGATGCAAGCCAAGCTGTGATTGACATTGCCGACGGGATTGGCGCGCACGGCGTGTTTGTCACAGCCCCCGCTGCCTATAAGACTGCGATCTCATTTGTTGGAGAGCGCATTGGAAGCACCATCATGTGCATCGGCCTCCCTGCCGCCGGGTCGACGGTACTGGGTACCGATCCATGTGAGTATATTTTCAAGAACCTGACTATTAAGGGAACCCTCGTTGGTAGTCGGAGGGATACCGCCATGGCGTTGGATTTTGCTCGCAGGGGGATGCTCCGACAGGTTTGTGAGGTCTATCCTATAAATCGAATGCCTGAAGCGGTGGATAAGTTGCGCAGGGGAGAAGTGGCCGGACGACTGGTCATTAATTTCAACTGGGAGGATTAGCCTGTACGGAGTATTGTGGACGGTCGAGAATCAAATTGGGGGCTGGTGCAGGCGTTTGACAGGTAGCTGCTGCCCGTGAGGATTCCACGGCTGACAAGAACTTGGAAATAGATTACTCTCCAATCCCCTGGCCTTTGGCACATTTAATACCTAGGTATATCCTTCAAGATTGGCCCCAGGATACAACAAGAGCAAAAAAGAAAATGCAAAAAAGAAATGCTCACACTCGGAGTCGAACCGAGGATCTCATCATTACTAGTGATGCGCTTTACCACTAAGCCATGCGAGCTTGTGAGAGGGCAGGCCTTTTGCAGCTATATGAGGGAAACTCCCCAAAATCAATAAACCAGTGATGTTTCAAGGCAATCTGACAAGTTCTCGGGAGCCGTGGCCCAGGTGAAGTGTTGCAACAAGCGAAGGTCCATCCTTTATGAAATGTATATTAAAACCACTTAACTTGTCCATATTTAGGTGATTTTTGTTTAAGAAATCTAATTCAAGGTTGTGGACTGATATATATTCCCATGGATACTACAAGACAACCTTGGAATATATACTTCGCACTTCCAAGGTTGTTGCCTAGTACAACCACAGCCTATTGGGTACCTAAATAATCCATACAGTATTTATCCAACAGGCCCATGAAAGAGCAACTCACATACTCCAAGGTGTAATAAAAGAGAGGTGAAACCTAGTTACAATGCGTAGAAGATCTAAAAAAGGATTAAGACAAGGAAGCAAAAAAGAATGGACTCGCGGGGAATCGAACCCCGGACCACTCCCATGCTAAGGGAGTATTATACCACTAAACCACAAGCCCAGTTCGATGGAGAGGCCTTGAGAATGTGGCATCATAGACCAAAAAAGCTGATCGACCACATTTCACGGATGCTCCTGACACCGGGTTGTGGACATGTACAGGCAACATGCAGATCTGCCACTGTTGTAGATATCCGACACCCTCGGCTCGGAAATATTCCCCCCACATCCCCAACCAAGCGTAGCCAAGATGCGGAGATCCCGGGAGTTCCACAAATGCAACCGGCCACTGCAACTCTTCTTCGAGTGACTACGTCTGCCCAGCCTGTCGATCAACGCCTGATTAGGGCTGATTTCGCGATAGAAGGAGACCCCAGCTGCTGTGATTGGGGGAACCTCCATTAGGTTTCGAGCTACACGTCCTGGAGGATGAAGGTCAATCCATGGGCCGACCTTTAACCGAACTTACTTGCTGTGCCCCTGGCTTAAAAGGTATGACCACCCCGTAGAGCAGCCGATCACAGCAACAATGAGAGTGCCATTGATTCTTTTTCCAGCCTTCGTGGTAGCTGCTGAGGCCCAGGAACTATACCTGACAACAACCGGTTACTCCGCACGACCACAATGTACAGAGTCTAGTGCCCTGACTCCGCATTACCGGTTCCAGCCATTTTCGTATACCCTGAATGAGACTGTCCGGTGAGTCCGACTCGACAACTGATGTATCGACGACTCATGTGTTAACCAACGGATCAGTTATGCCACATCGGTGCCGTCCCCGACCACAACTCGGACATATGCCCCGGCCTACACGGAGGCCGTCAAGCACTTGACCACTAGCTGGTCGACAACAACATGGGGGAGTTGGATCCCAGGCCAGACGGAAATTAGTGCCACAGACTCGCAAGACCCGTATGGTCAAGCTGCGTGGTCCTCGATGTGGCAGCAGGCTGATCTCCATAACTATGTATGATACCCTCTATCCTGTTGACCGAACTGATGTGCTAACTGTACCAGACCACCACGGGGATATTCTCAACCACGGTCAGTCCTACTGCTGTGCCGAGCAGTGAGCTGGTGTTGCCTCCGCGGGACTACTTTGGACCCACGGATTGTTATAATTTCCCCAAGGACTTTATTTTCGGTGTGGCAGGGAGTGCGGCGCAAATTGAAGGCGCTGTTGCACTAGATGGCCGTGGTCCTTCGTTGTTGGAGAAGTTGGTTCCTGACAATAAGCCAAAGGACTTCGTGACCAACGAGAACTACTTCTTGTACAAGCAAGATATTCAGCGCCTGGCTGCGATGGGTGTGGAATACTACAGTTTTACAATTCCCTGGACGCGGATCTTGCCATTCGCCCTTCCAGGAACCCCAGTTAATCAGCAGGCCATTGATCATTACGATGACTTGATCGATACAGTCCTCGATGCTGGGATGACGGTGAGTAAATCCTCAATGCAGCGATTCGATGATCCAGGATTCTGATTACCACCCCAGCCAGTAGTGACTATGCTTCACTTTGACAGCCCCTTGCTGTTCGTTGCCGGTGACAACATCACGAGACACCCAGATATTGGCTATAATAATGCCGGGTATCAAAATGAAACCTTTGTTGATGCGTTTGTGAATTATGGAAAGGTGCGATATTTAGCACGCAAGCAACCAATTGACGAGGACCTCGCTCATATTTCTTCTTTAGATCCTTCTGTCACATTATGCGGATCGAGTACCTATTTGGGTGACCTTCAACGAGCCTCTGCTGTACGCATTCAACTTCAAGGGCGTTGACCATGTTGTCAAGGCACATGCCCAGGTGTATCGATTCTATCACGAAGAATTGAAAGCGACTGGACAACTAGGCATCAAATTCAACGATAACTTCGGAGTGCCCAAAGACCCGAAGAATTCCAGCCATGTGCTCGCAGCGGATCGCTTCCAGGAGATGCAACTGGGGATCTTCGCCAACCCGATCTTCCTAGGAAAGCAGTATCCGGAATCCGTGTTGAACACACTCCCCGGGGCCAAACCCCTGAGCAAATCCGAGCTGAAGTATATCAACCATACGTCTGACTTTTTCGGAATTGATCCCTATACTGCCACGGTCGTCTCCCCAGCTAGCGAGGGAATCAAAGCATGCACAGCCGACTCGTCAAGTGCCAATCCGCTGTTCCCCTACTGCGTCAACCAAGAAACCAAGAATGTTTACGGGTGGAACATTGGCTATCGCTCGGAGTCATATGTGTATATCACACCAACGTATTTCCGAGAGTATCTTTACTACCTGTGGAATACCTTCCGACACCCAATTCTGGTATCGGAGTTTGGATTCCCAGTTGCCGCCGAGGCTGAGGCCGAGGAGCTTTCCGATCAACTGTTCGACTCCCCACGCAGCGTCTACTACCTCTCGTTCATGTCAGAGATTCTCAAATCCATCTACGAGGATGGTGTGCATGTGATGGGAGCACTTGCTTGGAGCTTCGTTGATAACTGGGAATTCGGGGATTATGCGCAGCAGTTTGGTATTCAGACTGTCAATCGCACGACCCAGGAGCGGCACTACAAGAAGAGCTTCTTTGATCTAGTGGATTTCGTCAAGACTAGACAGCCTCGCAAGGACTGAAGGATGGATGTTCGCGTTTTGTTTTTCATTTGCGCGAAGAACTGAGGTAATCATGCATGGTCCTGTGTACATGAGCATTCGCTCAAGCACACCTGGGCAGGGACTTGGGGACCTAGGTTCAGCTAGAATGATCTTTAAAGGAATGATTCTTTTTCAAGGTTCTTTATTGCGATGAATCGTTGCTTGGAATCGCGTAATATGGTATCTCCCAAAGAAGGTGCTCACCATGGAATCTCTTTGCCATCGTATTGATCTGCACCCTCTGCAGCCTCCCACCCAGGGATATGGATGTTGAAGAATTTTCCATTCTGATCAGGCGTCACTCTTTGGATAACTTCCAATACTCTCTCTGCTCCTGTTTCCACGGAGAGATGTGCCCGGGCGCTTCCAAGATCGGTGCGAAGCCACTGGTCGGGTTAGCGGTGTTTTCAGCATACTGAAAGCTGCTTGAATTGAAATTGAACCTACCCCAGGGCTGATTCCCACGAAGGTAAAGCCCTCACTTGAATATTGATTGGCGTATTGAACAGTCAACATGTTCAGTGCGGCCTTTGATATTTTGTATGCTGGCGAAGGTAATGCTTGGAATGAATCTGCCATTGCCATAGAACCGAGTATTGTAGATCTTGATCTTGGTGAGTATTCTGAACTGCACTAAGGTTGGTCGTGGTCTCACTGACATGTTTATGACGGTTTTCTTTTCCCCCTTACGAAGAAGAGGCAAGAAGGCTCGCGAGACAAGGTGAGGCGCAGTCGTATTGACATTCAATATCTCGTTGAGATTGTTCCTGAGCAGTCAGAATCCATAGCAAAGGGCTGAACAAAAGCTCTACGTACATCCCTTCCACCCCCGTGGGGGACCAGTCCGTCACCCCCGCGTTGTTGATCAAATAGTCAAGACCCTTCCCTTGCAGGCGAGAATCAGCTACGCTGGCGGCCTCATTTACGCTCTCCAGGTCGGTGACGTCGAGATTAATGAGTTGTACTCGTCCCGAAGATGCATCCACGACCTCTTTCAATCGGGGGGAATTGTCCCGTCGAGCTGTAGCGATGATGGTTCCTACCTCAGTCTTAGGGAGAGATGTCAATCGGGTGATTAGAGCCAGTCCAAGCCCCCTGGAGCAGCCTGTTACCAGATATGAAGCCATTGCTGGGAATCCAGGGCGTGGAGAAAAACTGGAAGATGAGGTTGAACGAGGAAGTATGAATGCGGAGAAACCTGGAAACCGGATTGACAGCTCCCATGTAAAGTTAAATACAAGCTTATTCGTGTTCCGGTAATATCTAGTATCTGCCACTGTACTTTAGAGTGAAGTTGTCAAATATTACCTAGCAGTGGACATACGGAGTAGGGTGTAGAGGGGAAGCAGAGTTGCGCATGCTTGTGGTTCCGTGATATATACCACCTGGCATCAACCTTGAATTGCCCCAGTACTCCGTACGCAGTAAAAGATAATTCCACTGGAGTGCATTTATCTAATTCATCACATCTTTGGAAGTTTTCATCTTCGATTTTCGCCGAAACCACAGATCACGTGAACCTTGCGTCACTGTCTCCAACTCGGGACTTCGCAAATCCTCTCCAGTGAGGATCCCCGCAGCACCATGACGGACTCATTCAACCTCCCTCTGCGCCCTATCCTAGACCGGAATGATCGACCAGACACGCTGCCCGTCGATATCGCCCAGATCAACAACCAGTGGGGTTCATTTCGCGATGTGAATGAAGAGGTCCTCCGAAACAAGATTGCAGAAGACAAGGACAAGGATGGGATCGACGAGGAGCAGAGTGAAGATGGAACCGATCTTGACTCTACAGAGCGGCTGGAGCAGCTTTACAAGCGACGCGCCGATATCACTCAGTTCGCTATGTGAGTTGGGCCTGAAGTTAGCGTCTGGTGCTCCAAACTGACAATGGTGTAGGCAAGCCCACATGGAGACTATGTTCGCGCTCGATTTCGTCTCTCTGTTACTCTCGAAGCAGGCCCCGCGTCAAGCCGAAACGTCCATGTCCGCCTATCTCAAGCAAGTCGCGCCCCTGGGTTCCCTCAACGCCGAGGTCGTGAACCCTCCACCGAAGCCGGAATCTACGGTGAAAGATATTTCGGCAGTATCGAGGGGCTGGCGGGTCCAGAACTTCAAAGGGGCTGCAAATAAGCTACTACAGGCCGCCTCCAGGCTCGAAACCGAAGTGACGTCCGAGACCCGCTATTGGAATGAGGTGTTGGCCGTCAAAAACAAAGGCTGGAAGGTTTCCCGACTTCCTCGAGAAAAACAAGCGCTCGGTGTGCAGTATGGATTCCTCGAGGGTAAGCCCAATCCGATTCCAGGTTGTACATGACCAGTCGATTCTAACAAGACAATGCAGCCACCCCGGTTTTCCGCGACCGTGGGCTTGCCTCTTTACGCCGCGCCGAGGATGGCAGCCTGCTGCTAGATAAGGGGCTTGTTCCCTCAAAAGCACGCTTCGTTCGGGTACGGGTGTTACAAAGTGGCCGGCTCTCAGGTTGCTCGCAACCAACAAATCCTGTGTTCAGCAGCGAGGAAACGATTGAAGGCCGCATTCTACAGGCACGAGACACTGTCTTTGAAGAAGAGCTCTTCCATGAACTAGTTCGAGAAGCTAAAGCAATTGCGGGCTTTGGCGTAATCACGCGTCAGAATCTGATCCAAGTCCCTGCATCAGAAGATCTCGAGATCTTGCTGGATCTGGTGGACGCCGATCAAAGCTACTTACAGACCGACCACCTTACCTCTAAACAAGGCAATTCTATTGCAGAAGGGCTGGCTCATACGATTCGCATCCTGTTGGCATATGCCCACCGCCAAAGTTTGCAACGCCGAACACTCCTCCCACTTCCCCTGATCCCCAAGAAGCGAACAGTCCCCGAACACCAACTCCTTCGCCCGGCTCTAGCCTACGTCCAACATATGTCTCACACGCAATGGTTGAAGTCATTATTGAACGATCTTTTCGGCGTGCTACAATCAGCAGACATGAGCCCTCCGGCGTATACGGCAGATGTCTTTTCAACTGAGCAGGGGAAAGCACCCCAAGTCCCCGCCGTTGAAGCCCTTGTCGAAAACTTCCTCAAGCCATTCGAGTCTACCTTCAAAGGGGAGTTTTTGACCCCACGTGGCTCCTTTTCAATCTCAATATCCACCAATCTTTCCTCGCCGCCATATGGTACCAGCTTTGATGTGTCATTCAATATGCCCTCAAATCCAGACCTGAAGTCCCCCGGCCGTCTTTCGCAGAGGGAAGAAGTGGAGGCTGCCATCACCCATCTCTTCTTAATTGATGTCGTCTTTGCCATCGCATCCGATGAAACCCCCGGAAGCAAACCCGAGAACCAAGCCTCAGGCTCGTGGGAAGCGATTTCCCCCCAACGTGGTGAACTCCTTCTGTCTTCTGATTCACTCAAGCGCAAGAAAATGAAAATCAAACTCTCCCGCCATGAGCTATCCCTGGAGACTTGCAATGTGCGTTGTTTCAACGGCACCGGACAGGGCACAAAAGAAGACACCTCTTTGGAATCCGAGTCCCGTATTTGGAAGCCCTCCACCCCTTCGTCCTTGATGGACCATGTCCGAGACATCACGGCCCGGAGCCATTGAGCCGAAACCCGGGCCGGAGTCCCTAGCCCAATTGACCCGAGACTAGCTCGCTTTCTCCATCGAACTGGGCTTGTGGTTTAGTGGTATAATACTCCCTTAGCATGGGAGTGGTCCGGGGTTCGATTCCCCG